AGATAGTGGTAATATCTAACTGTAGGTATACTAAAAAACATGAAATTTATACTTTAAATGTATCAATTTTATGGCATATCAATTATATGTGAATAAAGTCATCCCCCAAATCAAATGTTAAAACAAAAGAGCTATAGCAATGAAAACTAAGTTGTATATGTTGGGAAAACTTAATAATGGTACATCACTCTAAACAAGAAAAAGGAATTCCTAACGTCCCACTCCATCAATTCCATAGTGTTGCCTTAAGAATCAAGTTTTAGCTGGGCATGGTGGTAGACACCTGTAATCCCAGCTACTCAGGAGGCTGAGGCAAGAGGACTACCAATAGTTTGAGGCCAGCCTGGAAAACTTCCTAAGCCCCTATATCAAAATAAGAATGAAAGAGGGTTGGGGATTTTGCTCAGTATAGAGCATCTCTGGGATGTATCCCCAGTACCATTAAAAACAAACAAAAGAATCAAGTTTTATTTTGTAGCTTCTACAACATTTAACATAGTGCCTTACTGGGCACTCAAGTGTTTGGTGATCACTTCTTTGTTTTAATTTTGTTTTGCCAGAACAACATTCTAGTTTGAAAACCAAACCTTTCTAATCTTCAAGAAGAATGATGATGTTTATTTTTTCTCCATTCCACTCTATAAAAATTTAAGGTAATTTGGTCATCAACAGAGTTAAAAGGTAAAATTGATTCTACTATTAAGACTCATTCTGATAAACTAATTCTAATATCTTTTTTTCTCATTCAAATAGGGTGAGTTGTCAGATAGTCAAAAGCAGAATTCAATTCTTTCTATATCACCCCCACCAATTGTAAGGCATTTCTGGAAGTGAGAAAAATCTTCTTAAAGCAATCTAAAAATATAGTTTTCCCACCTACCAGTAATCTAAGGGAAACAATCAATTAGCAACCAAACCCATAATGTTCTAAAGTAGTGAAAATCATTAGGGTAAAAAGAAAAATCATTAGCTTTTGCTTTACTTTGTTGATAACTGCTTTTAACATTCACAATCTAGGAATTAAAAACTCTAAAAGATATTTTTGATTTTCCTAATTTCTACTCACAAGTCTATAAAATGACTAAATTTCTCTTTAATTTTAGAATATTATTTATTTATGCATTTGGTGCTGGGGAGTAAACCCAGGGATTTGGCCAGGTTAAGCATGTGCTCTACCACTGAGCTACAACCCCATGCCAAAGGAAACTTTTTTTGTATGGTGCTGGGCATCCAATCCAGGGCCATGCTCATGCTAGGCATTCTACCACTGAGCTACATCCACATCCCCCAAGACAACTTTTTAAAAATAAAAATACTATAATTTGAATAGAAGCAAACCCCCCAAAATTAAAAACAATACAACTCTGGGTAGCAAGAAGGGAAGGTGATAAAAAGCCACCCCCACCCCCACCCCACAAGTCTGCTTAGGAGTCTAACAAAATGAAATGAGCTATCTTTCTAACTCACACACCATTTGGTAGTCATTAGGACAGAGAAAACTTTGAAAGTTTTTACCAAGTTGACCTCTTAATCACCGGGTCCACCCCTCACAACTTATGCTGATACCTCCCTACATCTCTCATAAACTCAGTACAATTTTCTTGCCTCTTTAACTGGAAAAGGCCTCCCAAGGAAACATTTGTTTTAAGGTGTGCAGAAGCCTGAATTGTATATGCAAAAAAGTCTTGTAGAAAAGGGAATTCACATTTGTTGAGAATCTATTCAGGGTGTTTTAAATTTGAATCCCTGGAACAATCCAAAGAAAAGTTGCCTTGTTACTTCCATTTTATGAAATGAGGCTCAGCAAGTATTGTAATTTATCCTGTATCTCACAGGGATCTATAAAATTTCAGATGAACCACATCTAAACTGTGATGATAATGATCATCATCATATTACCCTGCAGATCTTCTATAGCATAAAGAAAGGTCCACATTAATATTATTATCAATTCCCAAACCTCTACAGAATATCTTTAGCAAGTTTCCAGTGTCCTGAAGGTATAGGCTAAATTATGGCTCTGATAATTGGAAAATACTTTATTTTAGGAAAAATAATGTAGAATATACCCTCAACTCAAGGAAGGAATAAATGTAACATGCAATACAGTATAAAATCCAAAAGAATCCATGAGATGCCAGTCCATTCTGATAGACAAGTTAAAATGTGTTTCAGAAAATGTGTACTGCCTTACACTCTGAACAAAGGCAAAAGATACGATCTTTTGGAAGGCCAATTAATCAAAAGCTATTAAAAATGTTAACGTGCATATCCTAGAAGCTAGTGATTTCACACTTAAATATCTACTCTAGAAAAACATGCACACAGAGGTGTGCACAAAGATCACACTCAAAGTCACTTACCAGTGTATTAAGAATAATCCTAGCTGGGCACGGTGCCACACACCTATAATCCCAGCAGCTCAGGAGGCTGAGGCAGGAGGATTGTGAATTCAAAGCCAGGCTCAGCAACTTAGCAAGGCCCTAAGACAGGGTGAGACCCTGTCTCTAAATAAAATATAAAAAAGGGTTGGGTATATAGCTCAGTGGTTAAGCACCCCTGGGTTCAATACATTGGAATTCATAACAGAAGTAATGAAAATAATAGATGATTGAAATACATCCAGTAGGAAGGATCCTAATGATTAACTCTGTCCTACAAGGAACAACAAACCTAGCTGCTGCTACCCCTGCTTTCCACCCCACCCCCGTCTCCACAATACATTATTATCTTGCCTACCTAAATGACTTACTCTTTTTATGTGGAGCTTCCTTCCCTACTTTGTATGAATGACTACTTTTAATTCAGTTCTCAATTTAAGGGCCACCTTCCATGACCACCCAATCTAAAGTTTATCTTTATATCAGCCTGCTTAGGGCTGCCTCCTATTTTCTCATTTATGTATATCCCTCCACAAGACTGTAAGCAATGTGAGAATTTGGCCTTTATCTATTATGTGCTGTTTCTACACCAGTACTAATACAGAGGTAAACTGGATGGTCTCTATAAACTTAAAAAAAATAAAAATAAAAAGTATGCTATAATCTAAATTTCTATGCAGCAGTTAAAGAATAAGAAAGATTTGTAAGCACTGTCATGGAAATATCCTTGAGGGTATCTATGACAAATGTCTTAAGTTCCCTGAAGAAGCAGCTTAGACTGGCTATGATCCCTGGGAATCCCACTGTTTCATTCTGGGAAACAATGCATAAGTGAAAAGAAACAATGCATAAGGATGGAACATTGGTTTAGGCCTAAGAAGTGACAGAGATGAGGGAGGAGAGAGGAAAGACTCACTTTATCTGTAATGTTTGCATTCTTAAAACATACTCATATACAATACTTGTATAATGAAAAACATTTAAAGATTAATTTAGTACACTTCAAAGGAAACAGATATCCATGAGTCTTATAGATATTCAAGCATATAGATTAATATTATTTCAGAAATTTCTCCTACAACTAATGATAAAGCCCTTTTTCAGGGTCTAGAACAGATCGATTTAGACACTTATTATTTGCCAAAGAATATTATTGTGAACACATTAGTTATAAAACAAATTTAAATTGTTAGGAAGAATAAAATATTTCTATAGGCTCTGCTATGTGCCAAGAGCTGTGTTGGATGCATTCTAAACCTATTTAATCCTGGAATGATTGATATTATTACCCACTTGATAAATAAGGAAACCAATCTCAGGGTAAATACTTTGCCAAAGATTACACAGCTGAGAAGCAGCACAGCTAGACTTAAATCTCAGATGTGACTTAAAAATCAGTGTTTTATTGGGTTGATTTATTGTCTATCACAAAATATTATTTTTCTTTTGTTCTTGTCTTTTTGTTCTTTGTGGTGCTAGAGTCTCACACATGCTAAGGAAGCACTCCCACTGAGCTACATACCCCCAGCCCCTCAAAATATTCTCTTACACCTGAATTAAAGAGAATGGATTCAAGAGGCAATAGGGTGGTTATAGAGAAGTTATATTTTTAAAATGTAGAACAGAATAGAAGGAAGATCAGGATCAGCAAACTTACCAGCAGACTCCAAAAGAATGTAACAGTAATAACCAAATCAAGGTAATTTAATCCATTAGCTTTCTCTCTTCAACCATGACAACCATTCAAAACACAGATGTAACTCCTTAACTTAAAATGTATGGAAAAAAATCCAAAAATTTTTGATAGTCTTTTGATAGTCTTCTATGATAGCTAACAACTATTAGTTTGTGAAAGCTCTTCATTAAATTCTACCTACGCTTTTCCAACAATCTGAGTAAGTTACGCTGACTTGGCCCTTACTAAGAATTCCTCAGTCATTATATACTTACACACTAAATAAAGATTATTAAACTGTAGTTAGAGCTGATGGTTTGTACCTCATCACTTTTTAGCTCATAATTAGAATTAAAGAAGATGAAAATAATCAAGATGAATTTAATACCAGTAGTAAAATTAGCTTAGAAATTCTAAAATTGGAATCTCCTAAATATATTACAAAATAAATAGCTGAAGTTTCATTACATGATCAGTAAGGCTTGATTATAAATAAGAGATAAGACTTAATATCTTTGACTCAAACTTCTTCCAGATTTGAAGTCGTTAGGGACAACAGAGACTTATTTTATTTCATGTAACAGAAACTAAGTGACAATAATTGTTCAGAAAAAAAATTTGTTAATAATCATATCTCTTGAGTCAGCTGAAGTTTTAAGGGAAAATGAAAATGTTCAAAGGCTTAATATTAATATAAATAATAAAGGGTAGGAATTCCACATATATCAACTTCAAATTGTGAAAAATGAATTGTGAAAGAAATTTTTGTGAAACATTTGGCTTTCCCCCATAAAAAAAAAAACTTCAGAGGTTTTTTTTTTTTTTTAATTTTATTGTGTGAATGTCAAATGTTTTATAGCACTGATTTACTAAAATTTATTAATCCTGTAAAATAAATACTATCTTAAAATACATTGGAATTCATAACAGAAGTAATGAAAATAGTAGATGATTGAAATGCATCCAGTAGGAACTTATTCTCATTTTTACCATCTGGTCCTTTTGATAAAAAATGCTTCTAGTGTTATGGACATACTTGATCTTCTTTGAACTGTGTTGTCCACTGCTTTTCTGTTTCTGTCACTGTAGCAATAAATAGTTGTTTAAGAATATTCTTATCTAAATTCCTGCCTGCAAATAAAAAAAATATAGCATAATTATATTTTGCTTATTAAAGTAACATAGTTCACCCATCAATTTCAGATTGTTAAATGCTTAATGATCTTCAGAAATCTATAAAAACAACATAGTTAAGTGATTCCTTCTTTGATTTTCTAATTAAGCCTCAGAACCAAATTGGTACTTAAGAGTAACCACTTTTCTAAAATTATTTTAAGAGTAAAAGGCCTAATGAGTATTTGTGAATGTTATTACATGATTAAGACAAATATACTAACCACAAGCTTATTTTAATTAAAATAAAGCACATAATATCCTACTTATAAAGCACATAATATCCTTTTCAAAACTTTTTTAAAATTTTGCTTTAGAAATTTTATCCTTTGCCACTTACCAATAAAGACTAATCGATTGGTTCTCTCAGTGTCATCTTCCCAGCTCACTGGAGTCTCTTCCAGGTCATAGAGTTCATGGACACCTTGGACAATCACTTGTTGTGGTTTGTCTTTGATCGACACCAACCCCTGCTTCACAGAGAGTGATCAATCAGACTCAGCTCAAAGTTAAAAGCAGAAATGATGCATTTCTGCTTTTAATGAATGGCTTTTTATGAATGGGTTAATTTCTGCCATTTTTTTTCAAAAATTTCATAAATCTGGGGAAATTATTTTACTCCAATTATTGTGCACTGAAAATAGTTTCCTAAAAGATAAATATTCTTTTTTTTAAGAGACAGAGAATTTTTTAATATTTATTTTTTAGTTTTTGGTGGACACAACATCTTTTTATTTTATTTTTATGTGGTGCTAAGGATCGAACCCAGCGCCCTGCACATGCTAGGCGAGCACGCTACAGCTTGAGCCACCTCCCCAGCCCCAATAAATATTTTTTTTAAAAGGACTTATGTACATTGATTTTTAAAAAACAATCCTTTTTTCTAATAATAGAATTAACACATATAGTATTCTTTTCTTTGCATTATTTTTGGTGATACTGTGGATTGAACCCAGGGACACACTACCACTAAACTACATTTTTCAGCCCTTTTTGTTTTTTTATTTGGAGACAGGTTCTCACTAAGTTGTCTAAAACATATTTTTTTTCCAGTACTGGGGACTGAACCGAGGGCCTGGTGTATGCTAGGCAAGCATGCTAACATTGTGCTACATCGCCAGCCTAAAAAAGTCTTTCAGTGTTATTGATCACAACCTAAAACTGAAACAACAAAATGATAAAATGTAATATATCATATACTATTAATTATTCTGCTTTTAAGCAGAATTAGTGAGAAAATTTGAGAAGTTAAAGGATTTTGAGTGATTAATTAAATTATCTGTTCTAGAAATGGTTTGCAATAAATGGAGTAGAACTATTACGTTTATCTAAAGTTCACTTTGTATTGATTTACAGAAATGGGAAAGAAATTATCTGATACACTAGCTGCTATAGGGATGAAATTAATTTCTCTGAAATGTCTGTGACATATATTTTCACATATATATTTTTTAAATAGGAGACAAACTGCTCACTCATTCCTACTATACAATTTTTGTGGGTTTTTGGCATACTTGCTTATTTGGAGGATATTTCTTTCAGGTTGTTTTTTTTTTTTTTTTTTTTCCTATGTTCAGTTGTGTGATCTGCTTTTTAAATTTGAACTTTTGGAATAAGAGACGCCTTGGGAAAAATTATGCAAGCATCAATTTTCTATTATTTATATAAAGATTGTGAAACATCAGCTGTTACTAGAGTTAACATTTTAAACATGGTGATGATTGTATGACTAATTCTTTTTAACAGGAAAGACTGTTTTGCTCCGGAATCACTTGGTGTTGTGATAGGAGGAGGGCCAAAGGCAGAGCCAAAGGAAGACAACTGCTGAGAAGCTGTCACACATTTTAAGGGCAAAATTGAAATTGAAGTAGTACAAGATAAGATAATGAACTCTACATAGGTCATGGTGCAAGCATTAGTGTAAATACCCAAACTGTTGCCTTTCTAGATAACCACCCCATGTATAGTACCTAGGGGATAAAAGCAGTTACGGGAAGAAATGTGTTCTGCCGGTTGAATCATGGGAAGTTGCTGGTGTTACAGTCAAAAGCAGCAGCAAGCAAGATCTGGGTTACTTCCTCTGAGTGTGTGGGATGTGCAAGTAGACCAAGATTCACCTGTGTCACTGTGCAGAAAATCCTAGGCAGAGCCCCAGGAAGTTAGTTGTTAACTGGAGAGAGAATCTAGTTATGAACAGTAATAGAAACTTGATGCACACTTGTGAGATGACAAGAGTATACACTGAAATGACTGCTGATTTGTTAAGCACACACCTTAGAACCACTCCATTGAGAGGAAAAAATACCTTTTGACATATATACCCAAATGTCAAGTGATATGAATGACTTTCCACAGAGAACAAGAATTCTTCTAGTCCTTAGTAACTTTGTATAGAGTATGATAAATGTTTAGTGTCTGCCAAATGAATCAAGAAGCATAAGGCTCAGCAGGGGAAGGATTTTCAACAAAATTTCTCTGTTAAATGAAGCTCTCCTGGAAAAATAAACACAGTTTTCTCTAAGTGACCAATCTCTGGTGCCAAGAGGAGGAGAATATGATGGAGTCAAGCTTACTAGCCAAAGAACTGCTCAGAACACCTGGGAGTAGAGAACAGGGACTAACATTTCAAAGCACAAAGGTTGTTTTAGCAGCAATACTAAAATGAAGCTGTGCAAATAAATCATGCTTTTTGCAGTGATTTCCAAAGCTCCTTTACAGCAATGAGAAAAAATTAAAGTCTACAAAGATATTTGTACCAAAACCAGTGTTTTAATTTAAAATCAAATATAGTTATTTAACAGCCAAGAAAACAACTTTGTCCAAAAGTCTACAAGGGTAATATTGCATACTGCACCTTAAGTCGTATGACTTCCATGCAGCGATTGTCCTTGTTTCTTACATTCTTTTCCCACAGGAGATTCTGTATCAAGTGAAATATTTTAATAAGACCAAGCATTGCTAATAATAACAACTATGCAACAAACAGCTGATCAATCATTAATCAGTTAAAAACTGTATTCACCTGAATAAATATATTTAGACTGTCTTCCTTCGAGTTTCCTGGTACTTCAAATGTGATTGTAACAATACTCTGTAAATCAACAGAAATAACAATTTTATAGTAATATCAAATTTATTTTAAAATATAATCCATTTTAAGATGAAAAGTAAGGAACATATTGGGAATTTTATGTTGCCTTATAAATATGTTAATTATATTTTTCTTACTATAAGTGCTGATTTTTGGAATTAGCAACTCCTTTTATATTCTGCAGAGTTAATCAATAGTTTAGTATTTACACAAAAACCTCTCATGAAAGGACAGTCATTATTTAATTCCTGCTCTTTAGGACTCTCATGAAAGAAGGAATGTTAACATACATTGTGGACCAAGTCCTGAGCTAGGCTCTTTTGCCTGTGTCATCTTGTTTCCTCTTTCCATTTACTCTTCACAGTGATACTGGTGAGTTAAAGATAAATAGTTTCCTTTTCATAAATTGGGTAAGATGAAGCTCAGAAAAATAAACTATCCAGAGCCAAGGTACTTACTGCTCAAAAGTGAAAGTGTGACACTGATCTCATGGAAAAATAAGTACAAAGGAAAAGTTCATTTTCTCTCTAACTGAATAAGCAAGGGCTGAGTGGAAAAGAGATTGTAGAGATGAAAATGACATTTTTGGCTTAGAATGTTGATAACATTATATACAGAATATAGACTCTTGAGATGTATATTTTCTCCTGATCTTGACAAATCTCTGTCTACAGAACCAGAAGTTTAAGATTTCCTCTAACAGATAACAAAATTCAAACTCCTTTTTGCCAATATAACCCAAAATTTCAAATTTAGTGACAAAAAATTGCATAAAGGCTAAGCATAATGATAAAAATATGAACTTCACCTTGCATAATAAGATATTCAAGCCAAACTCAAATAGCTTAAAACAGGCTTTGCATAACTTCCTAGAACTGTTTATCTGGCCCAGCATTTTTACTCATCATCAGAAAATCATATACGAATAGTAGAAAACATGAAAATATCAAGAACTGTTTTTTAATCCAAACTTAGTGAACAGCTTAAAGTATTAAAGACTAATTTAAGCACAAAGGCAGGGACATCTAGTTTCCACTCTTGTCAGTAATAGAAAAGTAGAATGTGCTTTCTTGCTTAAACAGGAGACATACAAGTCAACTTTTTAAGAAAAAAGTTTCAAGTTGGACTTTAAAACATGAAACAATTAAAAAAGACTTAGAGGAGTCCACAGTAATCCACAGGAAATACATTCCAAGACCACTGGTATACATGCCTGAAATCGCAGATAGTACTGGGCCACAAATTTAATGCCCTTTCCATCTTAAAAAAGCATTTGTCATGTACTATGGTTATAGCTTTTGTAGTATAAGATGTGACAGTAAAACTGGCACAAATTTCTTTTTCCTTCTTCATAATTTCACCCACAGATTCATTCTTAGCACAGATCTTAGCAACTTCATCATATAATTTTTTTTTCTTTCCTTATGAGAACTTTCACCTTATTGCTAAATGGAAGCACCTTACAGCTTCTTTGTCATATCCAAATCGTCAACATCACTACTCTTGTGCTCTGGGGCCATTATTAAGTAAATAAGCACTATGATACTGTGACAGCTGATCTGACAACTAAGATACCAAGAAGTGACTAATGAGCACTCAACAGAGTGGATATGCTGGACAATGGGATGATTCACATCCCATGCAGGCCATAGCTGGATGGTGACAGATTTCATGCAATTTCATTTAATTGCATGCAATTTAAAGTTGCTGAACTGTTTATTTCTGGAAATTTCCATTAAATATTTTTGGACTGCAACTAAACATAGGTAACTGAAACTATGGAAAACAAAACAATGGATTATGATGGGGGGGAGTCTACTATACTTTTCAGATAACTAAAAGGTAGTAACAAATGTCAATCAATAAGTGAATATAGAAAACGTGGTATCTACATACAATGGAATATTATTTGGCCTCAAAAAAGAAAAGAATTGTCATATGCAACAATATGGATGAATCTTGCAAATATTATGCTAAGTAAACTAAGCATGATTCTACTTTTATCAAGTGTCTAAAACAGTCCAAACCCATAGAAATTAGAAAATACAATAGTGGTTACCAGGTAATGGGAGGGCAAGGAAATGAGGAGCTGCTATTCAATGAGTTACAGTCATATAAAATGAATAAGTTCTAGAGGTATGCTGTATAATACTGTACATACAGGTAATTACATTGTATAATATACTTGAAATTTTGTTAAATAAGTAGATCTCAGGCAAAGTGTTTTTTTAAGCATAGTAATAAAAATACTTTAAAAAAATCTTAATAAATAGACTGTTTTTAAACTATTGGTTTTCTATATAATTTAAAGTAATACTATTACACTTAAGCAAAATGACATTTTCTTTCCTCATTTAAAGAAATCACTACAAATACTTACATTTCCATATCAAAATATGAGCAAACCAAAATATATTGCAAAAGATTGCCAAATGAAGCACAATTTGTCAGTTTCAAAAGATAGTAATTAAGTCTTCAAAGTTTTATGATGTATTTTATTCAAGTTGGATAACTCAGTTTTTAATATTGAGATTGTCTCAATTTAGGATTCAATACAGTCTTAACTTATTATTAAAGATTTTATGATGATATTTTTCTTTTATAGGTTAGAGATATGACTAATATTTCAGGGGGTACAATTAACTCCAGTGTGAAACAAAAAAGATTTTTAAAATTAAGATGATACATAGTGGTGCTCAAGGAGGGCAATCTATATTTTGGAACTATGGTTTTCTAAATCAGTAGACTCTTCTCATATTAGAAAATTCTTAGCAAGACGAAATCCATGAATTCCCAGTGCTATCTGATGAGAGTCAAAACTCAGAATTCATAATTGCCTCTAATAATAAATTAAACATAGATTGTCACTTGGGGTTTCTGGCCTACCTTCCCACCCTTCAACCCCCAGGTCCTCCTTATGTGAGCAAATAAGGAAATCATGAGGGGGAAAAAACAGAGAACTACATTAAATATTACTCAGGGATAAAACTTCAATAACCCATGCATAGATTATTCTAGGAACTCTAACTTCAGACTTTTTTTTAGCTTATTTTTATTTTGAACCTAAAATTAAGTCTCCTTTTCCTATGTCTGGAGACATGAAAGCAGGTAAGTGAGGTAACAATTCAGAAAACTAAAACCTACAAAAGGAAATGACTCAAAAATAAGATTTAAGAATAACTTATGTTTGCTCATTTCATCTTTCTTTTTTTTTAATCCACCAGGGTATTTCTCAGTTTTTTACTCTTTTGCAAACAATCCACAGTATGTAATAAACTTATACATGTTTTCTTCATCTGGAAAACAATCCACTGATGTGCTTAAACTCAACATCTACATTTCCACACTCCAGCTGCTGTCCCTTTTTGCCTGGGTATGACATTATACTATGATGTTCTGCCACTCTTCATCAAACCTCATACACACACAAAAAAATATCCAGGTTTATCCATTTCTTTAAGCTTTCATTATGAAGGCTTCCATGGCATGTAAATTTAATAAAATGATGGGTTTTCTTTTGTTAATCCATCTTCTGTTATTATTAGGACCTCAGCCGTGAACTTAGTGATGGATAAAGAAGAGAGGGATTTCTTTCTCTATACCTCAGATACACTAACAAAATGACACTGTTCATATCTTCAAATCACATAGCCCTTTTTCTGCAATATTATATTTTGCCCTATGTTTACATACTTAAAGGAGGAAAGAGCTTCAGATTCTTCTGTAGAGTTTTTTATAAAAATAGCTGGGCAAGTGGCACATGCCTATAACCCTAGCTACTTGGGAGGCTGAGAATGGAGGACTACAACAAACTTGAGGCCAGCCTGTGCAGCTGTCATAAAATAAAATAAAAGGTCTAGAGATGTAGCTCAGTGGTAGAGCACCCTGGGCTCAATCCCCATTACTACAGAATAATAAAAGAGAGCTTTTATAAAAAATAGACATGCCCTATTTCCTGGTGAAATGACATAATGTCTGGGATTTTCTTTAATACACTCCAGCAGGGGGATGAGTACATACAGGTTCGCTATGTATTTCTGCTTCTATGTTATGTCTGAAAACAGCCATATATACTTTTAAAATTCCATATATATTTTTTAAATTCCCACAAAAAAATACTGGGAGGATAGATTAAATAAAATTGGCAATATACTAACAGTATTTAAATTGGATGATGCATACATGGGGTCCATTTTACTATTCTTTCTACTTTTGTGTACCAAATAGAAAAATTTTGTAATAAAATGTTTAAAATACATATTAATATGCATATCTAAGTTCTATTCCTAAAAATCTGAGGAGCAGAAACTATTAAGTATGTTTAAATTATTTTTAAAGCTCTATAAGTGATTTTGAATACCTATATTTGAGAATCACTGATTTTCATTCTTTTAACAAATAATTCACTGAGTACCTCCTTCACACCAAGTCCCGTGCTAAGCAATGAAGAATTTATATTTAATGAATTTATATAGACTATTTCAACCTACACTACAAGGCATGATAAATGCCAGCATGGGGTACCATCAAGATACTATGGGTGTAGATATTAGCCATTATAAAGGTTTATGTAAGTAAGTACTTTCTTCATTTTTAAATTCCTTATGATTTCTAGTATGATGTCCTTCATTCACAAGCTCAAGAAGAATGTGTTTCAAGTTCATCTTTATGATTTTTATCATAAACGGTCAATATTTCCCAAAAATTTCACTAGCAAGGACTTGTACATCTTTTAGTCATTCATTTTAAAGATGTTTCTCCTAGGAATAACTTAAGATAAACAACACAAAGAAAGGTGCCACAAGCATGATGGTATAGCTCCACATAAACATAGCAAAAATACAGACAAATGAACTAGAGGCTGCTGTTAACTTGGCCCTACGGAAACTGAAAATGACTCAACTGAGCAATCACTGCCAGACAGAAGAGGGAACACTGCAGTGTGCTGTTCACTCACACAGCCTCTGGGTGGGTGTGGGTATGGGTGTTAAATGGAATGAGGAATTATTCTAAAGCTCTACCATCTATGATCTGCTTTAAAAAAAACATGAATACAGTGAAAATATATATAAGGTTTATTTCTAACATCTTAAATATCCACATCAAGGATTAGAATTTTAGATCATGAAAAATACCTTACAGAGTTCAAATTTAAAGGGCTACCTAAAGGTGAAAATCAAAGTCAACTTTGTTTAAATAAGCCTTGCTTATACAAGATTTTTACTTAATCAGTTATTTCAAAATAGTTAAAAACAGACTGTAGATAAAGCCCTCAGGATGCTTTAAAGGAGAAATTTCCATCGTAAGAGAGAAAAACATACTGTGACAAAAGAGAAGCCAGAAAGTAGGATGTCCTAAGATTCTAAACAACAATGGTTTGATGAATTCCTGTTAATGTGTTAAAAGCTGGATTAGACAATTTCAAAAGCATTCAAAATTCTGAAAATTATCAACACAGTTCAAAAATACCATTTTAGAAAGAGGATAATAAAAAAATTTTAAACATGGCCAACTAAGTGAAAGAGACACTTAAGATTTTTTTTACCTGATCAAGGTGAGATTGTGTGGCTGACACATGTTGAAGTTTTTTCTGCAAACTAAGAATAAATGATTGTAAGTTCAGAGATCAATATGTTTCTGATTTGACCTTATACATTACTCAGAGAAACAAAGCCAAATAAGGAAGAGATTTACCATAATTGAATCTATTCCACAGTTTCAATTTTGCATATTATTCACTTATTTTAGTAGATAAAAGTGAAAAAAGTTGTTTGTTTTCCCGTGGTGCTGGGGGATGGAACCCAGGGCACCTCACAACAAGGTAGGCAAGCACTCTACCCCAGAGCCAGAATAGACAGTCTTTAATAATTACCTTATATGTACATATATTCACACACATAAACAAACACATAATAAAGACTGAATTTTCAGCAACACTCTTTTGGGTGTTAAATATGTCAGTACATTTCTTAATACGTCCTATTTGAGCTTAGGCAAATATAAGTAACAGTTTTATACTGTTCAAAGTTCCTTAATTTTCCCTATGCTTTGTTATCTGAAAACAATGCTGACAGCTAAAGAAAGAAAGGTAAATTTTTCCTTATCAAAATTTTCCCATAGGAACAACTTAAGATAAACAACACATACATATACAAATACATATCAATTTATTTAAAAACAAGACGTATCCATAAATACAAACCTATACACAGTTACTGGTCAAGAGAAAATAAGATCAGAATCTTAAGAATGCATTGTCCCAATATGAAGAGTCAGAAGATCAATATGGCATAACAAATTACAACCATAACAACTGTAGCATACATTTAGAGACTGATGGGGACAGGATGGAGGAGGGACTTAAAACCTTGCAGACGTTTTGCCTCCAAGAACAGCAAGGAGTAAATTAGTAACAGCAAGTTTAGGAAAGAGAAAGAGCTTATAGGAACTACTGGAGGGAATAAGTCTCATTGGGGGGTCTCACTAGGAAAAGTGTCAAATTAAATCCTTCCCAGCTGGTTGTTCAGGAAAGGATTCTCCTGGTTAGCAGCTAAACACAAAGAAAAGTTCTACAAAGTCCTTACCTCTAGTGGTGGGATCACATTAAATAGTTACTTCTTTAAGTGTCCCTAAAGCACTATAATTCTCTTATAAGTGTAGAATGAGGTTAGAAAACCATTGAAAACTCATGTTTTTCATACATCCAATATTTAATGTTTTTGGACAATGCATACAATTTCATATGCAAGCAAAACATCAAAAATTTAACAATGAACATGTTTCAGTTTCTAGTAAGTCTCAGAATTTTGGATCCTTAATTTGTTCTCTATAATAAAAACAAAGGAAAATGTGCTCTGGTCTATTAGATAAGTGAGTTACCAAAAATTCATGAAGTTCGTGAATCAGAATCCCCATTTTGCATGTTTACTAATAATCTTGTAACGATTTCTGACTCTATACTAATAAAAGTGTATAAATTTAAAACGGTTTGGTGTTCTATATGTAAACCATTTTGTTCTGTAAAAAACAGTTAATTTAGTTCTTTTCATAGTTAGATGGAATAAACAAATTTTCTATTCCTTTCTTTTTTTTATTTTTGCTGGTGCTGGGGATAGAACCCAGGGCCTTGTGCATGCAAGGCAAGCACTAAACCAACTGAGCTATATCCCCAGTCCCACAACTTTTCTATTTCTCTAGGTAAAAATACAGATTAATATCAACAACTAAATGCTTTAAAGAAAATACCTCTAAGTACAGCAAATTATAGCAAGACATGAGTAGAAATGAAAAACAAAAAATGATAGTTCAAATAGCAAAACAGGAAATAATTTCACATTATAGTCCTTTTCTTAGGAACAAACTACTAAGGAATAAAATACATAAAAGAAAAAATAGTAATTTCAACCAAGAAGTATTTTAGTGTTTGATATTAAATGACAACTTGCAAGCTCTTAGGCTCAACAAAGAAAAATTAGTTTAAGAAAGGCAAACTTAAGCCAGCATGGTAGTGCATGCCTCTAATCTCAGTGACTCAGAAGGCTCAGCAGGATTGATTGTGGGTTCAAGGACAACCTCAGCATTTTATTGATACCCTCCACAATCTAGCAAACCACTGTCTTAAAAAACAAAAAAATAAAAAGGAATGAGTATATAGCTGATTGATAAAGGTACACTTAGGTTCAATACCTAGTATTTAGAAAAAAAAAAAAAGGAAAAATGAGGCAAACTTAAAACAATATTATTTCATTTCCCCAAATAAAAACACTTCTAAATATTACAAGATCTGTAACCAGGGCTGGGGATGTGGCTAAAGTGGTAATGCGCTTGCCTGACATGCGTGGGTTCAATCCTCAGCACCACATAAAAAAATAAATAAATAAGTAAAAATAAAGATGTTGTGTCCACCGAACTCTGAAAAATAAATATTAAAAAATTCTCTCTCTTAAAAAAAAAAAAAAAGATCTGTAACCACCAAAACAGCCCGTGGCCTCAAATAAAATAATACAGTTCTAAGCCAGATGTGAAGGGTAAGAAAAAAGGAACATGGCCCACTGCTGAAATGTCATTAAATATTCATGTGTAATGTACACTAGTTCTGGAATAAAAAGAAGAAAAGTAATGGACCTGAAAAATAAAAACCTAGGATGGGCTAGGCTTCTGTCCATTTCAGAAATGGGTAGCAAAAGACAAAATTATCTAATTAGGAGACAGCCTCAGCCAGTCATCTCCCTAGTAAAGCCAGAACTAAGAAAACACCATTTTGTAATGACTAAACTAAATTTAGCTTAGGGCCATAATCATTGAATGGGGGGAAGGTGGGTTTTATTTCTAAATTAGAAACACAAAGGCTTTGTATGGAAAAAAAATCAATAAATTCTGAATGATTGTATACTCAATCATTATTGAGCAAAAAAGATACTAAGTACCTGATGAAAATGGCTCACAGCACTAAAGGAACATATTAGAACTTTGTACAGGAGTGTCTTGAAAGGACATAATTATATGTCCTATAAAACAACAAGGTGCCAGATGTGCTGGCCACAGCTATAATCCCAGTGACTTGGGAGGCTAAGGTGTGAGAATAACAAGTTCGAGGCTAACCTTGGCAATTTAGCAATTGCTCATATGTAATTTAAATATACCAAACTTTCCTACCTTTCTACTAACTGGAACCAAAAAGTAGATGTGGATTTCGTCTAAGTACCTGGAAATGTCTGTACTTTTAACCTGTTATTCAGTTACTCTTAAAAATCCAACAGTAAAAGATATAGATGAAATAAATAGCTCTCAAATGATAAGCTGACATTTACAATGACTAGTTCTAGTCTTGACTTCTAGAGTGACAAGTTCATCTCTTTGACTTTCAGTTTTCAAACTGAGGAAGAGATAAATGCCCTGCCTGTCTCACACTTCCAGGTGCCAAAACTATTCTATTTTTTTAACCACACTAAATGTGAATCTAAATTCTCTAATGCATAAGGGTAAAGAGATCCAATAAAATATTATCATACTCTAATATCCAACTGCTTTAGATGCTACTTTCAAAATATGAGTAAGACAGGGTGAAAAAAAAAAAACAGTTGAAAATAAAACTGGTTTTAAAGCCATGGGTGTTAAAATTACATATACATGAATTGGAATTTGAGTCACAACTAGAGACTATGCACCACGCCTAACTGTAAGCAAAACCGCCTCACTAATTCAAAATACCTAAAGAGCTGTACATTTTGTGATCTTATATGACATATACAGGGACTTAAAAAGATATTGGGGCTGGGGATGTGGCTCAAGCGGTAGTGCGCTCGCCTGGCATGTGTGCGGCCCGGGGTTTGATCCTCAGCACTACATACAAATAAAAAGATGTTGTGTCCACCGAAAACTAAAAAATAAATATTAAAATTCTCTCTCTCTCTCTCTCTCTTTAAAAAAAAAAAAGATATTCATTGCAAGCATTATTCACGAAGCTAAGATGTGAAAACAATCTAAATGCTCATCAAGGATGAATGGATAAGGTAAATGTGGTACATACATTAAATGAGATATTATTCAGGCTTAAAAATTAAGAAGAAAATCTTGCCATTTGTGACAACGTGGATTAACCTTGAGGACATTATGCTAAATGAAATAAATTAGACAATGAAAGCCAAATACTGCATGATTCCACTTACAACAGGTAGGTAAAACAGTAAGATCCATAGAAACAGAGTTTAGAATAGTGATTGCCAGGGTGTAGAGGGAGAGGGCCTCACACATGCTAGGCAAGCGCTCTACCACTGAGCTACACCTCCAGACCAGGTGCTGTTATTAATGAGTATAAAGTTCCAGTAAGTTCTAGAGATATGCCTTACATCGTTATAGAGAACAATACTGTATTGTATACTTAAAAATTTGCTAGAAGGGTAGACCTCATGCTGTATGTTCTTACCACAATTTAAAAAATACTAATGTTCAAAAACAAACAATTTTTCTTCCCTCCCTTATCAGAAAGATTTCTCCCATAAAGCTGACCCATCACTAAAGGAAAGGGAAATGTTTGTATGAACACCCAAGCTAAAATTTTCTGTGTATATCATGTATTTTCCCAAAGAAAGAACATTACAATGGTTGGCATAGAAATATTAACAGTGACTCTCTAAGGTTCACCATCATTTACACTTTAATTTCATAGGAAAATGCATTGTGATTTCCAAACAACCAATTAATAACACTTTCAAGTACATAATTCATTAACAATGATCATATAGAGCTGGATATGGTGGCACATGTCTATAAATTCTGCAACATGGGAGGCTGAGGCAGGAGGATCATAAGTTGGAGAATCATAAGTTGGAGGGAAGGCTGGGCAACTTGGCAACTGGGCCTCAAAATTAAATTTTTAAAAAATGGTTGGGAGGAAACTTAGTGGTGGTACACTTGCCTAGCATGTGTGAGGGACTGTATTCAATCCCCCAAAAAACAAACACACACCCATATACCCACACTCACACACAGAATGATCTTATATGCCAAAGGAATGACAGAAAGTTTAAATCAATATAAATAATCCCTATAACTGTGGAATAAATGGAAATTACATTTTAAAAATGACCAAATTATCGAAAACATACCTTATTCCAGAGAGACTATCAAAGGCATGAAGATCTAATACATTAGAGAGATCAACTCTAAAAGGACAAAAATCCACATGAATAATTGAAAATTCTGTGAAATATATCAATTAACCAAGAAAAATATCTCTGAGACTCTTATCAAAATATATAAGCATAAGGATTAACCAGTATATCATAAGGAAATGCATATAAATGACAGACAAGTTGTAAAAAAGCTTCCTGTATAAAAAAATACTTCCTATGTAACATTCATAAAAGTGGGTGAATGAGCAGATCAAGGCAGAAAATTACTTGGTTATTGCTTCAACAATCTATAGTAGTTTTTTGTTGTTGTTGACTCTCAACAGTCTTTCCAATCTTGAAATATAATTTATGAGTTATTCAAATACTACACTTTCACAGCAGAAAAACAGTGAAGAACTGAAACTTTTCCAAGTAGCTTATTATTCCAAAGATACATGATAAATGGATGTATAGATACATTACAAATACTCTTGAAATTTCTGTATTTATTTTACTTCTCCTCCCAAGATAAAAGAAGTAATATAAAAACATTAGGAGTCAGGGGCTGGGGACACAGCAAAGTGATAAAGAATGTGCTTAGCATGCACAAGACCTAGGTTGATCCTCAGAATCAAAAAGAAAAATTTAAAAAAAAAAAACAATCAGCCAATGTATAAATATTAATTCACTCTAGGATTCCATTTACATGTGGGTTTGATTTCATTCATTTGTAATGGGTTTGCAGATAGAATGAAACTTCCTGTTAGTGCTCTATCTCAATGGACATTATTTCTCTTGGAATTATTTAGTGATAATTAAACCTTATTAGGAATACAGAAATTTAAATTAGATGAGAATAACATCACAATTAGTATTAGGTTCAGCTTAAAAACACAAAAGTAAATTTATAAAGATGGGTGGTTGATTTCCAATTTTAACATAAGCCCCCAAAAGAGCAGAGATCAGTAACTTCTTCATAATCAAAGTTAAAATGAAGGAAATGTCTAATGAAAATGACAAAAACACAAATTTCAAAATCAGACTCCAGGAGCTTTTCAAATGCTTATTAAATTTTTTCACAAGGAGAACAATAGTTTATTTGTCAGATTCATACTTTTTAAAATGTACAATCATAAAAGATAAAATATCTACTTTAATTTAGAACTGACCAGCTGTGCCTGCTTTGGTCCCTCTCAGAAGTCTGCACACTGTTAACTACAAACACTTTCTCTTGGCATAGAGAAACAAATCCCTATCTTATTAAAAGAATACTCCAAAGTTTTATGTTAATAGACTATAAAAACATTTTGAATTCTGGACATTCTAGAGGTGCTGAATTAGAAAAATAATCAAAAAAAGTAGTAATGTCCCATGAAGAAATTTTTGAATATCATTTTACACTGAGACCAAAGTCTGAAGATTAAACATATTTCCCTTTTCACCTTCACAGTCAGTGAATATTTATACTGACAAGTAAAAAATGAATTGACTCCTCCCACCAAGTTAATTATCTTCACCTTAGAAAACAGCTTCAAGTTCAATAAAGTTGGCACATGCAATTTTATGAATATCTAGTTGTTCTAAAAAATTACCTTCTAAATACACATTGTTCCTGTGACAATGTCTTTGAGAATATGTTATCTAGAGATAATTTTGTTTTATATCCAGATTTTTTGAAATTTCCAAAACAGACAGGATCAATAATAGGTATGTATATGCAACAAATAATACTCTATAGTGAAAAATAAAATATCAAAGACTCTCACCAAATTCTCAATGGAGAGTAAAAGAGAAAAAAAAATGGAAGCTTCTAGATGGGACGTTAATATGAACTTTCCCAAAATGTAACACTGCCATGAAAAAATCCTTCACTCATTCAAGGCATATGACTAGAAAACTAATATCCATGGCATTGGATGCATTTATTTTCCTCCTTTGGAGATATAAACATCAGATCTTTTCCAAACCTTTTTAATAGAAAAATAAAAATAAAAAGACAATTACCGTCATTTAAAAACTAAATGGAGGAATAAAGCAAATAAAAAGAGGGGAGAAAAATTTCAAAAGCTCACTTTTCTCCTAATTTCTTTTTTTGTGGTGCTGGGGATTGAACCCAGGGCCTTGCGCATGCAAGGCAAGCACTCTACCAACTGAGCTGTAGCCCCAGCCCTCTCCTAATTTCTATAAGTACTGATTAAAGCTGCTACTTTAGGAATATTATTTAAGAGTCATCTTTTCAAACTCTAATGAGTCTCACCAACAGGGTATGACAGCTAATTCCAGATTTATGTGATGCAGATATTGTTCAAAAGCTCAGTCCTGACTCTAGCATTAAATTTCCAAATGCTTTCCCAGTGGTACCTCAAACTCAAAACCATTAATTAAATAGAATGAACTGACTTTTCCAAACTTACTTCCACCACCACCCCATCCAAGTTAATATATTTCCTATACTTTAGAGAATAGCTCCACATTGAATTCACCTCCCAAGAGTCATACTGCTTTTAGAATCCTTTACTGACTCCTTATTGCCTACAGAAGAAAATCCAAACTGTGTATCATGCATTAAAGACTCTTTGTGGTAAGTTCTCCATCTCTTCAGTCATATACTTTTGCTTTCTGCTATATAATACCATGTGTTCTAATCTTTTTAAAATATCCGCAGGTCCCTGGAATATAAAATCTTCCATAAAAAATTTAAAAATACAAATTATAGTTAATATGGAATTAATATACCCAAATTATAGACCTATAAACATATTTTTAAAAATCCATTTTTAAAAAATCTTCCCTATGCTTGGAAAGTCTAGACCATCTGGAAAACTCTCATTAGTATTTTTCTATTTCTTCATCAGTAAGAGTTGAGCAGTGATTCCTCTAATTTCCTTTTCTTATAGGACTTATGCTTTGAATATTCCTCTTGTGATATTTTAATCTTGCCTAACATGTTGCTCTTTGCTAGTTTGCTTCTGTTTTCCCCAAATCACTCATCTTGGGCAATTTTTGTCTTATCCATTGCTTAAATCCTTAACCTGCCATGAAATACCTAACAGCCAGTAGAATTTCCAATAATTTGCTGAATTGATTCACTTATTGAACAACTGGGTTCTGGTTTTCCTTTGTTCTGTTTGTAAATCTCTAAAGTTAACTCTGGAAAAGACAAGAATGGCACGTCATCTAACGGTGGTCCCCTTCCCCTCCGTCTCTCCCTCCCTGCCCCCCCTCTTTCTTTGTCTCTCTGTTCCAAACCCTAAACTTAATGGCACATCTTCTAACAGTCTACTTTATTAATTTATTTACTTAGTCTTTTTAGTCCCCTAAAACTATGTTTGCCTCTAAACCAACTTAAGCCAATAAGATAATGCTACACACTTATTCCTTAAATATTCAAGGTGAAACTTTTTGTACACATGCTAATAGCAGTTTTACTTCTGTCCCTGTTTGTCAAACTCAACACAATAAAGGAATTAAAATTTAAAAATTAAATGAAACAAAACTTCATAAGGAATTCTGGGAAATTTTTAATATAGACCCATGACCCAATATAAAGAATTCTATTATGGATGTCTTGTCTTATCTTCACTGAAAAGGATTCTAACCCAACTTTAACCCTCATAGTACTATTTTAGAAGATCCCTAAATTCTCAGATGCACTGGCCAATACCAGATACTGAATAAACTGAAGAAAAAACATTTTATGTACTTGTTCATTCACCCATTTAAAGTAACAATTAATTACTATATGTTTACCATTCCATAATATAGCAAATGTTAGAAACAGTAAACAAAATCATCACACAATAAACTAATTAAGAGAAACCTTTATTCATGGAACTTTCCAAACAGAAGAAAATTTAAGATGCTTATAAATATGAACTGAATACATGCTATTACAAAACTACAGCTATTTATGGATATAATTTTTTAACGTTCATTTAAGCATTATGTAGTTGTCTGCATGTCATTTCATGAAGGAAAGAAAAATTAAGGAGAAAAGAAATAGAGGGTGTAACAGAAATGATTCACAGTATGAGTTACATAATCATAGTTTCTACAATGGAATTTGAACCACAGGAAGCACATTTGGTGTATGCTTGTAGAAGACTTACACTAAGGGCATTCTTCTACTACCTCTGTCAGCAAATGAATGGCTTCTGAGAATACATTCCAAATTAATGCCCCAGCTGTTCCCATGCTTATAAACAGCTGCTGTTGTGACTGCATAACACTTACAGTAGTCTGTCAGCACTTCTAATCTCTGCCATTGCAGACAAGCCACTCAGCAAAGGCCTCTACTGCACTTCTAAGGGAACTATTCCTCAACTAAGAACAGGGTGGTACTTGAGTTGCCAGCTGTGAGCCTCAGAGCTGCTGGCCCCAAGTTGCATGTCTCCCAACTGCTAATCATTCTCTCCAAAAAGTTAGCTTAATAAAATACCCTTGTATAGAAATTTTCTGAAATCATGATAGTATTTAATAGAAAATTAGTTCAATCTACAAAAATACATTCCATGGATGTTTTAAAAGCATATCTATTTTATAAAGAAATGCACCTCTGCATGAATAGAACAAAAAGAGAAGAATCTGAAGAAAATGGAAATCAAAATTTAATGAAGGACTATACCAGTAACCTAAAGGTAAAGATTCTACATGACATTTATTTTTGCAATTATGAAACACCAATGTGGTTTCAAAAATATTAAAAGGCCATTTAAATACATCAAATTAAGATTCCTTGGTATACTTGTTCAGATTTCTGTACTGAATTACTTTCTTGAGTGGTTGAATGTATTATGTATTCTTCCTTATTAAACAAAAGCAGTTACATAGTGTTATCCTACTTCTGTGATCTTAGTTATAAGAAGAAAAAGTATTAACTAAATATGCCAATTCATTAATAAAGAGCATTCAATAAAAATATTTTGGGGTTCCATTTTTTTTAAAGTGCACCTATATTTCTTATATTAGAATCAAGTGAATATATACATATTACTTAATATTTACTATTAATAACTAAAGAAAGTATTTGTTGTTAGTAATAGCTTTTCAAAAGTACCTTGATCTTTGTGTTTCTAAAATTTTTCCCAGTCCATTTATTGATCTGAAATAAATAAAAAGCAAAAAAAGTAAATATTCATACTGTTGTTTTCAAAGCACACAAATCACATTATTTCTAAAACAGGAAGGAAGGAAACATAAATATAACTGCAACCAGAAAAACTGAAAGCAGAAAATAAAAGTTGCATTTTGTTATGTTTAATTATTCTTTCCCTTCAAACCCTAAATCTGTTATATTCTATTCATGCATTAAGAAAACATCATATGTAAAAATCTACTATACAACTGATAGACTAGGGATGAGTTTATGATTTACAAAAAACCATTCACTTCAGAAAAAAATGATTCATAAATAATAATTCTAGCAAACTCTCAATATTTTTAGTGATAGCATTTTTCCCCAGGCACAACATCATGGAAATGGCTATATACACACTAAAAGGATGGTATATGACTCTCTTTGTATGACACCAAAAATTACTTGTTAATTTCTTTTCAATACATTGAACAATCTATTTATCTTTATATCATCAATTCCATAGTCTTTAGGGTTACTTGCCCAAGATATGTGGTACTTCTTCAAGCTTATTCTCAAGGGTAAGGCTTCCTGCATAGGGTGATTCTGAGGCAAGTCTCCACACTACTTCTTTCAATTATTTACAAAATTCTTCATCTTCTCTTTTGAATATATTCTATAACCTGATAGTCATTTCTCCCAAAGCATGTTTAACTTATTTCCTCAAATCTGATTTTGAGTCAGGCACAAGTCTCATGTACAACAGAGGGTAAAAAAAAAAAAAAAAAAAAAAGCCCCCCAAAAGGCCTGAAATTTATCAAACTGTTTTTTCCAAATTCTTTTCTGGTATTGTTGTAATGTACAGACTGGCAAAAACAAACAAACAAAAAAAAAACTGGCTAATCATTAATAATGCCAGTGCTAGAGACCCAGCTTAGATATAAAAGCTAGGTGATATTAATTACTCCTTTTATGGCAAAAATGTTTGCCAAAGAGATGATATTCTTCTGAGTAAAATTTAAAGATATGACTATTAATAAGAACAAATATAAAGAAAAGTATGAATTTCCTTTTTCTCCAGTCACTATTCATTATAAACAATCCCTTGATGAATCTTACATTTATTGATTCAATTTATAACATATACTATATCAACTAGCACAATAGATTCAGAAGTTGTAAATACTAGGAGGCTGCGTCTGTCTCCCACTCTCACAGACACTGCAGTACACTGAGCTCCATAGAGACAGCACCAGGGCAAGTGAGAGCTGGAGAGGCACTAGGCAATTCTGTGCCTTGCTGAGGAAAAACAATTAAACATGGGCAAAGGAGATCCTAAGAAGCCAAGAGGTGAAATGTCATCATATGCATTCTTTGTGCCAAGTTGCCAGGAGGAGCACAAGAAGAAGCACCCAGATGCTTCAGTCAACTACTTAGAGTTGTTCAAGAAGTGCTCAGGTGGAAGACCACTTCTGGTAAAGAGAAAGGAAAATCTGAAGACACAGCAAAAGCAGACCAGGCCCCTTATGAAAGAGAAATGAAAAACTATATACCTCCTAAAGGGGAAACAAAAAGAATATCAAGGATCCCAATGCACCCAAGAGGCCTCCAATGGCCTTCTTGTTCTGAGTATCGCCCAAATCAAAGAACAACATCCTGGCCGATCCATTGGTGATATTGAAAGAAACTGGGAAAGATTGGAATAACACTGCTCCAATGATAAACAGCCTTATGAAAAGAAAGCTGCTAAGCTGAAGGAAAAATATAAAAAGAATATTGCTGCCTATAACGGAAAACCTGATACAGCAAAAAAGGGAGTTGTCAAGGCTAAAAAAAAGCAAGAAAAAGAAGAAGAAGGAAGATGAGTAAGATGAAGAGGATAAAGAGAAAGATGAATTAGATGATGATGATGAATAAGCTGGTTCTAGCAGTTTTTTAATCTTGTCTATAAAGCATTTAATCCCCTTGTACAAAACTCACTCCTTTTAAGGAAAAAAATTGAAATGTAAAAAAAAAAAAAAAGAAGTTATAAATACTAAGTAAGGTAATTTTTGGCCATTATGCACAAGCACTGTACCCATTAAAGATGGCCAGTAATAAAAGCTATTGAAAGTCTCCTTATAAATTACATTTACTATGTTAGATCATACAAATAAGTCAAAACAAAGTCCCTGAACTCTTTAACTTCCTTTGAAAAGCCGATCTTCCGTTTCAAAAAGAATGGCAGTCTCCACAACAGCAAAATGACTGTTGCATTATTTAATACATAATCAAATATCATTCATATCACCTTGCTGATGCACACTTAAGACATTAAAACAAATTGGAAGATAAGGCATAGCTAATAATCACGGAAGATATAAAGTCAACAACAATTCATGTAAAAGTGAGACCACCAGAGTTAGGGACACTTGATAAAAAGGACATAACTGGAGAGGGAGAGAGAAAATAGGCTCTATTGAATAGATAAAATTGCTGAGAGAGAAGATGAAGGTCTCTGAAATTGGCAAAGCAAGAAAAACATTATGAACAATGCAGGGATTTGGCAAGACCCATTCACAGAAAAGTAAATTAACAATCTTGGGTAAAGTCAGGGGGACTTGATGTTAGGAAGGAGTAAAAGAGAAGACAGGAAAAGAAGAATGGAGTCAGAGGATCCTGAATATCAATCTGTGAATTCTGAACTATTTTCTGCAAATAATGGAGAATAATTTTATATATTTCTATTATATAGCAATCTATTGGCCAACAATATATGAGATTTCTTAATGTCCTTGAAGCAGGTCAACCTTGAACTTTAAGTATCTACAGGGCAATAGTCATAGTAAAGATACTTTGTATATTGTATTTGGGGTACTTAAAAGATTTATAATTTCTGCCTTATATTCTTCTTTGGACTTTAAATTTAAAATAAAAATTATTCACATTAATCAGATACCATGTGATGTTCTGATGCATGCATATATTGTGTAAGACTTAAACCCAGTTAAATATCCTTCTCCTCAAACATTTATCATCTCTTTATGGTGAAAATATTCGAAATCCCATCTTCTAGCTTCTTGATCTATATGGTACACAGCTGCTATCTACTATACCTAATGATTGCTCTTAATTTGTTTAGCTCCTCTTCTGAAATCAAGTCTGTTTTATTGATGAGAATGATATCTGCCAAAGCAACTTGCCTAAAATAGCAAACAAAGAACAGATGTCAAAAGAAAAATGTTGAGATTAAAAATAAATACAAATAAGTCACTCAAATAAATATATCAGTTGAGAAATACTTAGGGTTCTACTGCAGTGATCCAGTGTACTCCGAATCTACTTATTCTTCAGACAGTACAGGGGAATTGCATTTATCACTATATAAATTCAGATTTCACATTATACTATTCATATTCTTTATTATAGTATTCATTCATTTACTAAGTACCCTTAAAACTCTGGAGCTATAAAGATAAGCCCCAAAAAGTTTATAATCAAAAGGATGATTTTCAACTGATAATTATCTTTATGAAGAGGCATAAAATTCAGAAAGCCAAAGAAACGAAAATAAGGAAAATTTAGTTACTAAAATATCTCAATGTTTACTATAATTTTCAAATAGAAAAAAGTTCACTTAACATAAATATACATTAAACAGTTTTGTTTAAAAAACTACACTTCAGAAGATACATCAATATATATCTTCTTCATCAGTACAAATTATATATTATCTCTGTAAAACAGATACACAGAAATTCCAGTTAAAGAATACAGCTGACAGAATGCTACATAGCAAAACAGTTATTATAATTGGAAGTTCTATTTTCTATTAACTAGAGTAGTGAAGCTAAGGAATCTTTCAATTTTCCTAAATTCTTCAGGAAATGTTAAAAACTAGACTATTAGTTTCTGAGTCTTATGCTACATCAAAAACAAAATCAAATTCTCATGAACATATTTCTATTTAAGTAATTTTATATGAATAAAGACAGAATGTACATATCTGCAAATACAGTCTTTAAATTAGAGGACTTTTATGCTTAAGCTATTTTTGGCTTTTGTTTTTGTTTTTGTGGTGCTAGAGATTGAATCCAGGGCCTTGTGCATTCGAGGCAAGCACTCTACCAACTGAGCTATATCCCCAGCCCATCTTCTTTTGGCTTTTATAACATTTTGCTATTTTCTATTTGGCTTATAAATATTTTCTATAAAACACTTTCATAAGGAAAAACATTACAATAATGTTTAAGTTCATTCTAATTTGAATCATAATTACATATCAATTGCAGTGTTTAGGTAGGATTACAAAACAACGGGTATCATATTCCAAAATGATAATCAACTATTTGCTGTTGTCTTTATTTTTTATGTCAACATCATCTGAACCAAATCCCAGGGGAGTCTTACTCTTAAACCCAGCAGCATATTTAGTGAGTGTCATCTACCTCAAAACCTGTATCTCATTAGCAAGAATATGCTCAGGGCAGGCAAGTTAATTTAAATATTTATAAATCTAAAGACAAATCAATAAGGAACATAAAGTTACTTAATAAATGTTTTAAGTGCCAAGTTAAAAGCATTTATATATTCATCTATTCTGAATAACAATGAATACTGAGGCAGATTTAACACCATAAACAAGTTAATGATTTCTCTCTCTTTTTTTTTTTTTTTGTAATAATCTTCAATTCCAAAGAAACTGGATGAGAATAAGAACATATTTTTAGTAGGGTGCAGTGACACACACTTGTAATCCTAGCAGCACATGAGGCTGAGGCAGGAGGATTTCAAGCTCAAAGCCAGCCTCAGCAACTTAGCAAGGCCCTACGGTAACTTAGCAAGACCTTGTCTCAAAATAAAAAATTTAAAAAGGGCTGGGGATGTGGTTCGGTGGTTAAGAGCCCCGGTACCAAAAAGAAGAAAAAGAAAAAAGAAAGAAAATATTTTATCCTACTACTTCCCAAATTCCTCATAAAGCATTCTGGTGTCCAGCATTCACATTATGCTACAATATCAATGGTTTTAAATAAAATGTCAGTTATTAATTCATTATGAATAGATAGAAAAAAAGAAAATAAATTTGCTTTAACTGTTTTCATATTTGTTTTGTGGTTTCATATTACTAATTTTTCAATTAGTCAGCAATCAATATTTTAAGTATGAGTACCTAGTAGCTTCACTGATTAGGCCATCAGGTTTTTCTTCTGTTAAATGCTAAATAAAAACAAAATTTATAAAAAGTTACTGTGGTATAATGCAAAATCTAATGTCAACACAAAGAATTTTACTTCAGAGAAATCTTTCTTGCCTCTAAAAACTATTTTGTGTTTAAATTTTTTTCTTTAAAAAAGTATTTTCTTAATTGACAGGAAATAAACTATACATCTTCATGGTGTGATGTTTCAGTATATTTATACATTGTATAATGTTCAACTCAGGCATTTAGATTACTCATCATCTCAAACAGTTATCATTTCTTTATAATGAGAATATTCAAAACACTCTCTTTTTGCTATTTTGAATTATATGACACAATACTCTTGACTATAATTACTCTTCTGGGTAATTATAGTTACACCACAATTATTCCTCCAATCTGTCTGTGACTTTGTATCCATTAACTAATCTTTCCCTTCCCAATTCCCTCTCTAAACACTATTTGCTAGTTCTCTAAGCTTAGCTTTTTTAGATTTCACATGAGCGAAATCGTGAAAAATTTGTCTCTCTGTGCCTGGCTTATAAGACTAACTATTCTGCCTGAAATCCTTTTTCTCCATTTCATTTTTGTTTCCTACAGTGAAACTAAAGGGTTTTTTGGAGAGAAAGGGGCTTAGGATTTTGAATTCCTGCTCTTTTTCTTAAAAAGAAAACCCCTCAAATGAATATAAAAAATATGTAAAGCTATAGTTCAGATTTTAGGTATTTTCCTTTTTATAAAACTGCTCGTTCTAAATTATTGATTATTACTTATAAAAGAATAACCATTGAAATTATACCTTTTAAAAAGCTAACATGCTTCCTTCAGTCCATTCCTATATTCATGCCCAACTCCTCTCCCTCAAATCATGTATAATATGAACTTAGTATTGTGCCTTTTAAATTTCCTAAAAAAAAAAGAAAGCTATGGGAAAGACACAGCCCTAATAATTCTGGCCTAAAAGCAGTTTATTATTTGTAAATACAGAATGATTTGATCTCTCCAGTGCAATTGCCTATCTTGCTATTTCTCCAATCAGGCTCACTCCAAAAAAATATTGACACTGACTTAGACACCCATGAGATTATAATAGTGTTCATTTTCTGGTAGCAGAGTCCCCTCCCCCATAATCCTATTTAGAACTCAAAAAGTAATCAATGCCATAAGATCTTCTGGAAAAATTATGTTTTCACCTGCACCACCTCAGCCCTCCACACAGATTCCCTATTACAATAAAAAGCTAGTTACTGAGAGAGGCAATTGTAGTAAATAAATACTCTTTAAATTTCAATTAAACTTCTTAAATTATTAAATTCTTTTACATATGATATCTCATTTAGACTTTAACTATTCTTATTTTATAAAGGAAGACACTAAATCTCACCATCACAGAATACCAATCTATACACTATGAGAGGGCTATTATTACTATATTTGTAATAAAAAACAGAAGTAAAGTCAACAAAATTTTAAAATTTTCATAAAATCCTTTTATGTCACATAAAATAAGTCTTGTACACAATGTCACAGGTTGATAATTTGCATAAAAAAATTAACAATTACCTAAATTAATATTCAAATTAAGTTTCACAATTCATTCGGAAGTGACCGCTAAAGTACTTAGATAGTTTAGTACCTAAAGGAAAGTTGGTAATAATTTAACTTAATAATCTTGGTTAAGACTATGGAAAGAGAAACTTTTTCCTTTCTTTAAGCTTACCAAATACTATTTAGGGGGAAACAAAACTAAACTAAAATTATGGGAATGATACACTCATTTTTTCTTGGAGAACAATCTTATATACTCAGGGGCAGAACCACTCTGCAATTATTATGGAAGTCATAGAACTTGGAGAGTATTGCATCAAAAATTATTCCATGCCAGAAGACCAAGTTTAATATTTTTCATTATTATTCTTGACCCAAGGCCTCTAGAGAATAAAGCTATTAATAGACCCTTTAATATTATCTGACTCACAGGCCCAACAAACCTTCCTTGAATGAATATTAGTTAACACCTCCTATTTGTTGACATAGATTCATAAATGTTGTTATCTGAAAAGTTCTATTAACATGTAACAACAAATCCCTTTTCACTGAAAAGCAAATCTCTTTAACAATTATACACTGTAAGCAAGGCATCTGACCTTGAATGATCCTGTAATATTGAAAATTCTTTCAAAAGCCTTAAGAATTTTTCAAGACATTATATTTTTGACCTTTTGGGAGCCCCATTTGGGGTTATCTGGCTGTGAGTTGGTTAGGTATAAAAAAAGATATAAGAATTAAAAGATTTGTTTTTTTCATTTCTATCCTAAATATAACTAATAAAAAAGTAGTTTTACAATTACTCTCATTGTTTTGCATCCATTTACTTCTCCATAAGATTAGAAAATTTCATTCAAAGCAAACTGGGGTGGACTAACATGTTGTACTACCTCTAGACAGTCAGGAAGTATTAAATACAAAAATAAGCTAAAATCCCCAAAATAAAAGTCTATCAATATGCATAATTCTATCAAGAATATGCCTAATAATAATAATAATAGTCATAAAGAGACAAATGTCCTGTCCTATCGATATATGAAAGCTATACAAACAAAAAATAATAAACACAGCTGGGCATGGTGGTGCACATCCATAGTACCAGCAATTCAGAAAGTGGAGACTCAGATTGCAAGTTGAAGGCTAGCCTCAGCAACCTAGTGAGGCTCTAAGCAACTTAAAAAGACCCTGTCCCCAAAATAAAAAGGGTTAGGGAAGCTTGGAGCATTGGTGCACTCCTATAATCCCAGCAGTTTGGGAGGCTGAGGCAAGAGGATTGCGAATTCAATGCCAGTCTCAGCAAAAACGAGGCACTAAGCAACTCAGTGAGACCCTGTCTCTACATAAAATATAAAATAGGGCTGGGAATGTGGTCCAGTGGTCGAGTGCCCCTGAGTTCAATCCCCAGTACCGAAACACAAAAACAAACAAGGGCTGGGGATGTGGCTCAGAGGAAAGTACTTCTAGTTTATATCCCCAGTACCAAATAAATAAATAAATAATAAGAAATGCATACTAACATTCAGATATCAACTCAACATCTCCCTTATAAACCCTCTTACCTTCACAAGTGAAACTTGCACCAAAACAAAACTAAAATATACATCTGCTCTTCAAAAGAACATTCTACAATATTTGGTCATTAAGTCAGATGATTTTTCATTTATCAAATACAATGTAGATTTGGCATCTATTCTACCTGCATAGGCAAAGTCTGCAAACTTTTTTCTAAAATATTTTATATTGCACATATGTCCAAAGGGTTCCTCCTTTCTGCTTAGAGACTGTAGCTTTTGCTTTTATATAAAAAAGACTAATAATTTGTACTAATAAAACATATTCAAAAGGTAAAGCTTCAAACTCCCAACTTGCCCTACCACAAGAAACAAAGGGGAACAAAAGGATAAAATAGGGTCTGAGATGTTGGTCAAAGGGTACAAAGTCTCAGTTATGCAGGATGAATACATTCTGGAAAGCTAATTATAGCATGATGACTATAAGTAAGACTACTAGATTAAATTCTTGAACTTGCTGAGCTTAAATATTAAATGTTCTCACCCCACACCTCACTTCAAAAAGTGGTAACTATGTGAAATTATGTGTCCATTAGCTTGATTGTTTCACAGTATTTTTCACTACACACACATACACACACACACACACACATACACACACACCTCAAAACATTAAGTTGCACAATTTATTGCTACTTTTTTGTGTCAATTATAACTCCACAAAGTTGTAAGGAAAAAAAGGAACAAATTCCGAGTATCTTTTTTTTTTTTTTAAAGAAATAAAGAAACAATTTGGACAAAGAAGAAGAGGAGGAGGAGGAAGAGGAAGAGAAAAAAGCTAATGGGGCTGGGATTGTGGCTCAGTGGTAGAGTGCTCGCCTAGTATACTAGAAGCACTGGGTTCGATCCTCAGCACCACATAAATATAAAATAAAAAATATTGTGTCAACCTAAAACTAAAAAATAAATATTAAAAAAAGTTCACTAGCTAAAGAACACTGTTGTAAATGAAAGCAGAAATACATCTAGTGTCAAAGATGTCAGACATCAGTGATTTAAAAAAAAAAAAGGCAGCAGCAGCTATTTCTTTCAAATGGATTGGTTATAGATCTAACACAATTTCAACTTTTAAAAAATTATTGCAGGGGGCTGGGATTGTGGCTCTGTGGTAGAGTGCTTGCCTAGCATATGTGGGGTGCTGGGTTCGATCCTCAACACCACATAAAAATAAAATAAAGGTATTGTGTCAACTACAACTAAAACAAAATATTTTTTAAAATTATTGCATAATGTCTATTTATTTTTCCAGGCTTTTCTAAGCAAACTGTGTTCTGACTGAATTGTTTCAACAGCTTGTGTAATATAAAAGAAGAACCAAAAAGAACCCTCTCACTTGACCTTTCCTACGTAACTTCATTCACTGATTCTATTGCATTAAATGCTGTCACATTTGTAGAATTGAAAAGAACAATGTCAGTAGCCCAAGTGTCAAGTCCTGAGAATAGAGAGCTGTCATTTTAAGTTGTCCAATTCTTTGCCCATGATTAAAAAATGAATATTTCAGATCAATGGGTGACAATCCCATTAGAGTGATAGCCCATGATATCAATTACCACTTCAGTTTCAATTTGGCTGGCTGGCCACAGGGTACCATTTCTCAGCTTTACTTGTGATGGGCTCGCTCTGTGAAGCATGACACCCTTAAATTGCTGCCCATTATCCAAGTGTCATTACTTGTACTGCCTCAGAATTCTCTGAATCACAAGCAGCTACTGAGGTCAAGCTTTGCAACCAGAGGAATTGGACAAGTTGGCAAATTCTTTATATAAAGGCAAAGTTATTTATCTGGCATCCGACTTAGAAAATCTAAAGTTTCCATTATCTTGACAGTATGTCAGTTTTGTGCAGGTATATTGATTTAATAATTTAAGAGGTTTTATCAAGGTGGCAGGGGGTTAAATGTATACCGTGTTTGCATTATTCAGAATGTTGCTTTGGGTTTTTGCTTTTTTTTTTTTTTTCCTGCTTCTACCATGCTACTAACAGATTCTATTTAATTCCTTTGTATACCCAACTATACATATAAATTATTCTCAAAGTCATAAAATACATAAAGAGTTTGACTTCCAGTATGACACATTAAGTTTATCAAAAATAAACAAAACAACATCACAAATGAAATGACCTATCATCCTATAGGTATCACAAATTTGGGAATAAATTTGTAGAGGAACCATGTATTCAAACATGCCTGTAATATTCAAGATGAAGAATTTACTTTTTGTTTTGCTTTGCTATCTCCAAGATACTTTGCTAAAAAGATGATTTCAGAACATTCAGTCATTAGAATATTTTTGAGCCAAATATTTGGAATTGTTCTTTGAATCTTTAGACAATTCATAAATTGAGATTCTAAACTCTAAATAAGAAAGTACTGCCCAAACTTCTCAAATTAGGGTGCTTTATCCCAGGAGGAAGTAAATGACCAGAAAAGGAGTATCAGTGGCCATTTGACAAGCCTGACATACCTTCTTAGAGCATAATGTCATTGGAAATTTAGAAGAAAAACAAACTTTAAATATTAGTAAGTTTAGATATATCGTAGGGTAGAATACAAAACTAACACAGACTTTTAAACACTGGGTTTAAACTTACAAAAGATTATTATTTTGGACCCCAGATTGAGGTGCTGGGACAGAGGTGCTGAGGAAAGAGATGCTGAGGACAGAGGATAATTTCATGCTCAGAGGCCTTTATTGATGTTTCACTTGGGAAGTCAGAAAACACTATTTTATTTTATTTATCCATATGTTTTAAAAGATCTCACTAAGTACATTTTATAAATTGAGGCCAATTAAATGTAGTTGATGATCTTAGTAGTTAACAAAAACATTCACAGCAGGATACCTTTTGATTTAAGATTTCTCCTCACTAATCCCATACACAAATTCTGATTTCTTCAAAATGAGGCAAAGAAATATTTTTTAAAACCTCATTTCCAGCTTGTGTTTGATAGCATTTATAACAAAAAATAAGATCTCATATGCTTTTACCATGTTCAATTTCTTCTATCAAACAGGAATAGTTTTCAATACTGGGGTTGAATTCTAGTGAGGAGTTACACATACCCAAACTTTATCCTCATCCCATATCCTTATTACAAAATATATCCCAAATTTTGTGCCAATATTAAACTAGACGAATAGAAAAGAAATTCTTAACTTAAAAACACAAGATAATTTAATAACACACAAATTGCACCTACTATTCAGGATAACTTTTGAAAAACATTTTTGTTAAGAAAGGTTTCAAACAAATACAAACAGAAAAAAATAATACAATCAACTCCTATATTCCTAGCTCTCTGCAAACAATTAGCAACCTATAATCTTCAACTTACTTTTAATCCATATTTTGAATCTACAACAGTTATGATACCTACAAAAGAATAAACATTTTAATCATCCTTTATTAAAAAGATGTTTATTAATATTGTATAATTACACTTGAGAAGGACAATTAAAATTAATCTCAGTTCAAGAATGCTCTTCAATAAAACAAAGAATTTTTTTTCTTACCAGTGCTGCAATCTAATTCAATCCCAGGAATAAGTAAATGCATTTCAAATATATATAGAGTGCTAAGCACTGTTTTAAGAGACTATAAAAATATTTTAAACATTTAAATTATTATGTAAAGATTTGGGGCATTGTAAAATATTTTATTCCTAATCTCTTACCAAATCTAGCTCACAAAAATGTTATATATATATATATATATATATATATATATATATATATACATATATATATATATAGTACCTAAATTCCCAAATGTTCAATTAGTTTAGCAATCTCTGAATATATACTAAATTTTTTCAAAGGATAATAGCAACATGAGTTTAATGATGTCTATGGAATTTAACCAGCTACATGCCATATATATTAGAGCCCAATTAAGCCCAGCTTCAAAGACTTAAATTTCACCCTTTAGTCTATAAAGGTGAGGGAGGGAGGAATGGAGAAAAGGAAAAAGGGAGGAAGGGAGGGTGGAGGGAAGAAGGGAATATAGTTGCTTAACTTTGAAAGTTACACAAAGTTTATAAATTTATAGGTAAGACTGACAAAAGTGTTAATGTAAATAAAGTAAGGGTTTGTATGTGCTGAATTTTTATGTTCAAGGGAAAATGAAGGCAGAAATGTGATTCTTACATTGTCTGGTTGATTAAAATAAAAACCTCTGACATTGTGTTAAGTGAACAAATCAAACACAGAGGACATAGGAAATCTACATAGCATTTTGGTAGAAAAGGCTTAGTGCAAGTGCTAAATTCAGAATTGAGATTAAGATTTGGTAATTTAATTCTAACACCAGCTGGGTCTGTAGAGTTTACGTGAACAAAAATATACTTCATCATAAACCAAGCAGTTTGAAAAGAATGATGATGCAATGGACTAAATTATAAATAAACAATAAACTTAACAGTAAAGAAAACTGTTTTTTAACTTACCATCAAGGTAAATGTCACTCCCTAATTCAGCATCAACCCAAAACATAGAAGCCACAGCACCTGAAAAATATATAATATTCATCAAATAAAAAAATTTTTTGAAGCACAAAACATGATTTTATATACATTTTAATTTGCCACAATGAAATCAGCAGAAAAACACACATACAAATTAAATCTGGGTTTCTCATTTTCTTTGGGAATTAATTTTACTACTTCTATTCCTTTCTATAATCTCCCCCATTTCCTAAAAAAAAAAAAAAAAAAAAAAAAAAAAAACACCAACTTTTACTACACACAAATCAAACAGTAAGCTTCTACCTATGCCAAAATAAGTTATGAGGAGATATTATTAAACAACTTCAACACTATGGCTATGTGCACATAGGGCTTATTTTCATTTTCTCATCTCCTAAATATGAAAATTATATGGTTCACAAATAATGAATCATCTCTCTAAGGAAAAAGTAAATGAGATGCAAATAATTCAAAATCACTTGTCAAAAAAATTACATTGTAATTTTTATAGGAGAAAAAGAACAAGAAGTAAAATTATAAACTCACTGGTATTATTAATTAATCCTCACACTACTTATTTAGCACTAGCACAAAACTTGGGTTTCAGGAAAAATTATTTCTGAATAAGAAATTAAAACTTGTTTTTGACAGAAACTGGTTCATCACCAAACCACACACCCTGATTACTATGCCACAACACAAGAAAAAGGAAACTGACAGCAAGGAAAGTATTTGATTTTTCAAAGCATCACAGGCCCAGTTAGTGACAGTGCTGTCTAAAAGAATGAGCATAAGGGGAAAACAAGGATAACTGAACTCATTCCACTGTCTAAAGCTGTCCACCTACCCTGACAAGATGTGGTCCCCCAAGCATCACTCTGTCAACAATGAAATACCTGTCAGCTGTTTATAGTGATTACTCATGCAAGATATAGCAAGGGCCACAAGATCTAATGGTTTCCTGATACCTATTGATTTTTTTCCCAAAAACTTAATAGTTTTCCAATTTGACTGAAATAGGATCTGTGAGTAACAGGGGCTGAATCAATGTCTGTCCTTTTCAAGGAAATTACTTTACCATGACAATTATTTAGCTTAGAACTGGAGAGTGTCAGTCTCCTAGATGGGAAACAACTGAATTGCCAATAAGAATTTTCTTTACTTTCTTGACTAAAAACATGGTTTTAATTAATAAGGGAGAAAAAGTAAATCCGTGTGATTATTCTAAATAGTAAGTCACAGAAAATGTATTAATTTTTCACTCAGCAAAACACTTAACATCATCATTTTATAATTTTTAAAAATGCACTGATTTCTATTCAGATAAATAGCTAGTAAGTTGTACCATAATGTTTGTTATTATTAAGTTGAACTGTAAAAGTACATTACAGCTTTTATTCTAAATCTATTATTGACCTTTGATGTAATTCTTGCAAGCCTAGAAAAGAAATATTTAGAATTTGGAATGTAGGTGTATAGGAGGAGTAAAGATAAGTAAATGAAGTGGTGCTTTTTCTCCCCAGGGAATATTTGCCAATGTCGGTAGAAAGTTTTGGTTGTTCCTAGGGTGATGTTACTGGCAGTTAACAGGTGTAAGCCAGGGATACTGTAAACATCCTATAATGCCCAAGACAGCTCCCCACCCGCAAAGTATTTATCCAATGCAAAATGTCATTGTGCCAAGGCTGAGGAACTGAATAGATTATAGAATCTCCCTTCTTCAAAACCTAATAAAATAAAAATAATAAAAAATTTTAAGTCAAAATTTTATCAGCAGCAACCTAACAATAAAAAAAGAACATACATCCTCCTACCACAAATTTTAAACAGTGACAGTCAAAATGAAAACAAAGTCTACTTTCACCCCTAATAAGAGGTTTTAAGAAAATAGTTTACAAAATCCTAATACTTTTGAGAAATACCACCCAAAATGCAACAAGTGGAACGGAGGGAAGAAAAAGTAACATAGGGAAAAGCAACTTGAAAAAAAAAAAAAGCCATAAAAGTTTCTAGCCATCTCTACCTTTGGGGTATAAAGTCACTTTCTAGGGCCGAGAGCAAAAGGAAGCACGAGTTCTGAGGTCCAAAGGGGTGTATTGGGTATTTTAAAAGAGCAGAACCTAACAGCAACATTGCCCCATGTGGCTCTTTAGATGATCTGTTTTCCTTTTGCTTCCCTCTCCCCCACCACCAACAATATCCAGTTTGCAAAATGGGACTAAAGAGAAACATGTTTGGATAAGATGAAAAAGGTATTAAAAGGAATTCATCATGAATACATCTAAGTAGATAAAAGCTCTCAGAGCATCCCAGATCAAGCACAAACACACATTCAACCAGGAAAAGCAAAAAATTAAAAGAATGGAAGAAGGAAAAAAAAAAACTGAAGAAATGAATAGGGCATACATTTGACAAAGAACCCATTCTAGAAGAAACCATAATCCCAGAAACCAAAGAAAATTATGAAGAACTTCTTCATGACAAAAAAATTATTGATAATACGATGTTAATAAAAACAAGCTTGAAATAAAACAAGCCACAATAATATGAAAAGACAGTTTGTTAACACTGAACAAATAAACTTGGGGTCAATATGACACCATTGCTTAACCAATTAATTCATTTTAAACAAATAAGGAATAGAACAGACACTGGTAGAAACAGAATTAATGACAAAAAGAAAGCCTTTAAATGATTACAAATGCAAAAGCAGATGAAAAGATGAATCAAAACAATTAGAACAGATAAAAGAACAAAATAAAACTCAAAATGCAGAAAATTGGCCTCATGAAGTAGAGTACCCCATAATCTGACAAAATTATTATTCATGATAATAAACAAGGATAATGTCCTTAAGTGAAGAACTAAGGGTATATTATAATTCAGAAGAAAATGATTATGAATGGTACTCAAATACTCAGCTTACATTACTGAACTTCAAAAATAAAAACAAGAATTTTCAGGTATTTTGGATGAAAAAGAAAGTCATTGGGGGGAGAGGTAGAGGACAGAAATCAGACTTTACAGTAATACTCAATATTCTAGCATAATAAATTATGGACCACAAAGTTCTAACAAAAGTGTTCTCAAAGGGTAATAACTGCCAAGTTGTTTTTCAGGAATGAAAAACATTCTCAAACATTAAAGGAAACAACAAGCATTGAAACTCAGACACTACAACACTCACAAATTCTTCCTGATAAAAGGAGAGGGCTGGGGATGTAACTCAGTGGTAGAATGCTTGTCTAGCATGCCATGAGGTTGATCCTCAGCACCACCAAAAATAAGAATAAAAAATAAAACAAATCACTGAACAAGGACAACTGACCAATCTAAAAATTACTAAGAAACTATAGAAAAACACTTGCAAAACATGAGGGAAAGAAATTTTGACCCAAAATTGTATCCTTTAATATAAATATAATATTTATATAACTATAGAAATACAAGTAATCCTTTAAGTATAAAAACAAAAGACAAGTATTCTCAAACAAGGAAATAAGCAAGAATTCAAAGAATGCAACACTTGTAACTTGAAAAGATTACCTGACCATAAAACGCAGACAATCAGGAGATAAATTTGTGTGTGTATGTGTGTTTGTGTGCTGCTGTGGACTGAATTCAGGGCTTTGCTAGGCAAGCACTCTACCACTTAGTTACACCCCTAGGTTAATACTCATTTTAAATATTTCTCCAATATATCTATTTAAAAAGTCAAAAGAACAATATTCTGATTATTAATAATGTCATTTCTTACCAGGATCTGCTAACCCAGTAGTCTCTAACAGTATGTAATCAAATTTCCCCTTCTTCTGCATCAAATTCTCAATAGCTCTAAGGCCATTATCCCTGGAGAATAGCAAAATGTAATACATAGAGTTGATTACCTGAATATTTTTAAATGTTCATCATGAACATTTTAAAATATATTCAACAACACAACTCAAAAATACCTCTAGGCATGTGAAAATTTAACTTGCTCCTAAGTTTCTAATAAAATGTCCATTCAATATTTACAATGAGGAGAAGTAAATAGATGCATATACACACACAGGTTAAAAAAAATGTAATGAGTTAATACTTTATTAAAATTAAAATCAGAGAGAACTTCATTTGACTAAAGTCAATGCTATAGTTTTATGAAAGAAAAAAAATCAACATTCAAAATAATGATAAAATTTATTAGCCACAATAATTTAATAGCTAAAGGGACACTGTCATTAAATACCATTTAACTCTATTCTGAATTAGGGTACAAGATCAAATTTCCTTTTTTTCTTATAATACAAAAGAAAAGAAAAATACTGACTATATGACATTCTGGTTGTTTAAGAAAGTCAGTTATAACTTCATGCTTCCTAATTTATTTGACTCAAAGTCAACATATAGGAAGGAAATTATGTAGAAGAAATTAATTCACTAGAATATACAAAATCAATAGTACATGTGTTAGTTTCCATAATTTATCAAATATATGAGTTGCTACTATGTACAAGCTACTCTTCTAGGATTTATCACAGTTTAGTGAACAAAATAATGTCCTTGGAAACAACTAATGAAAGGTTACTTTTTGATAGTAATTTGTAGTAATTTGTTTTTGTTTTAAAGAGATCAAATACTTGGAAATGAAATTAATGATATATAAAATTCAAAATAATCATCTTTTGCATATGATATGTGACTTGCACTCATGAGAAATTAGTAATGAAATAAACTTGAACACCTAATATAAAATTTAATAAAAGGAGGAAAGAATTCAAGCAGATAAAAAACAGTAAAAAAAGAACTTTAATAAAATACACTCTGCTAAGTTTATTTTCTATTTGAAAAATACAATGAAGCAAACAGTATGTAAATTCAGTTAATTTAATCAGGAAAATCAAAGATGGAAATATCAGTAAACATTTCTAGTAAGCTAAGAAACACATAGTGAACATATTCCTTACTTCACTGAACAGCAGAGGCAACCGTTTCCAAGTTCCAGCCACTCTTCATACAGCTCTCCACCTTGGCTGATAGCTAAGGATTTCTCTACTGCACTTCCTGGAAAAATTAACAAGATAATTTTACAACATAATCAACATAATCTCTTTAGATTATGTTCAATAACTGACCAAAAATAAAGATGAGAATATTTAAATGTGGAGCAGATTTCAAAGCACAAATGCATTTTATAATTTTTATTCTTTCTTTCTATTCATGCAGCCTAAATATTTAAATTATAGTATTCTAGATTATTTTAGCTTTTCTTTAAGAAGATTTTAAGCCTGTAGAGAGGCAAATCCAAAAATCAATGAATATACCTATTTCCTCTTGAGGCCTCTTCTTGACCATTTCTATTTCTTGATAAAGTAGCTGCCTTGGAAGCATTTTTTTCTTGTCCATGGAAAACTTTCTAGGCAGACTAGTATGTTTTACATAATGGTTTTGGTATACCCTTTTGTCAACTGATAAGCCTGTCTTAACTACTTTTTTTTTTTATTCTTCCTATATCTTGTTTGTTTCTATTAGACAGATTATTCAAATTCCCAGTATAAGTATTAGTCCATTTTAAAGAAATTTATGATCAGAGTATCATGTGTTCATTTAAAAAATAAACTTTTTGTCAAATATACAAAAATTTCCTAGTAATAATTACCTCGGAAAGAATTTAAGAATGATTTTAAATGTTTACTTTTCCTGCAAAAAAAAAGCCAAGGAAGAATCTTAAATGTCTGGGAAAGCAAATGGCCTTTGTCTCCAAAAGAGAAACCCATCGTTTTACACTTATATATATTTTTGTTCATATTTGAGGTAGATGATGATAAAGAGCTTTTAAAGGGATTGCCACAAAATTCAAGCTATGTGGAATGTTCATAAAACATGAAGAAAAATATTGAGAATGCTATGAAGGACAAATTTCTGAAAATGAATATCAAAAATGAAGAAAAGCAATGAAAAATAACACAATGAATGTAACCAGTGTACAACAGAAAATTAGTTAATAAGAAGTTAGAAAAGGACCAGAATGAGAAATCTCAGAGTTTATATGGGTAGGAAGTGTAGCACAATGATAGAATGCCTGTCTAATATGTGCAGGGTCCTGGGTTTGATCCCCAGTACTGCACAAGAAAGAAAGAAAAACAAATCTCAGTGTTTTTATTTTGTCTTTTCTCTTTAGTTTACTGAAATAAGAAATCACATTTGACTACCAGGTGTCCCATGGTGTCCATAAAACCTAGCTCTTTTACTCATTTACAATGGAAAAAGAGTAGACTTTAAGAAACGTTCTAACAAAAATTATGTTTTGGCTAAAATGTTAGATTTCATTAAAGTTAATACTTGTGTCTAAAACTGATGAACAGATTTATTAACAACAGTTTAATGGTAAAGACAGAAAGTTAAGCACATATATTTTTATAGACAATTTGAGCACTCTGAAAATGGAGACAATATATTAACTAAATTTTAAAATCCTCAGTTTTAACTGCTTTTCAGATAATAAGCATTTAACAAGGTAAACTTATAATATCTGAAGAATTTCAAATATATTCATGAGCAGAAATACACAATATAGTTAGTACCAAAGCACCTTAGTGCCTTTAAAAAACAAAACAAACAAAAAAACTTTTCTTTCAAATAGTAAGATTTTTACCTCTGGAGACTGAGGTTGTAACTCAGCACTTGCCTAGCACATGTGAGGCCCTGGGTTCAATCCTCAGCACCATATGAAGACAAATAAATAAAATAAAGGTACTGTGTCTATCTACGACTAAAATATACATATATTGCATATATGTAGTATAAATTTTTTTAAAAAGAGAAAAGATTTTTTACCTCTGGATTTATTTTGCATAAAAATGTATTTTAATTCTGTTGATATGAATTTCAAAGTTACACAAAATAAAAGTTTTAGAAATTATCTGATGTTAATATTCTAAATCCATAAAAGTACAGCTTAACAGAAATTAATCTAAACTTTTCAAAGCTATCCCTATCAGCATGCGTGCATTATAATACATACCATTTTCATTTTAAATACTGAATATCAATCAACCAGTAGAATAGACTGTTCTCTAAGTTACTGAAGCACGACATAATACTGAAATTTACTTACCTTCTCCAAATTCATTTAAAATAACTGCTATTTTTTTACTATGTTGTTCTGTCAAAATGTAGTTCAGAAGAGTTGTCTTTCCAGCACCTATAAAATACATTAAAGTAGCAAAATTCAAAGACTAATTTTAAAGGCATGAAAAGGATAATAAAAGTCGTGATTTTTTTAACAATTTGTGTGCTATTTTTCATACTTAACTATGGTACAAGAAATTCTAAAGGAAAAGATTAAAGCAATCTTTGAAAAGTATAATATGCTTTATATATTTTACAAATATTTACTAATACTACAAGTTAAATCAGTTTTTTAACCTAATTTTACTAAACGAATATGTCTTCTTCATAACTTATACAATACAAGGGAATCTAAAATTTCTATTAAATAATGAATTAATAATGATTTCAGAGGAATAAAATATAATTTATAAAATTCAAAATCTGTAATTCCCTTTTATATTATGACAATATTTCTGAATGGAGACGACTTGGTTTACTTCCCTAAACTTTACATCTAAATAACTATTTTTTGTATCATTATCGATTAAACATACACAAATTCAGGATGGCTATATTTCTACTTTTAGTATGCTTAAAGCAATCTATAAATTGTCATATATTTTATGAAACAGAAGTAAGAACTGTCAAGGAAAGATGGGAATATTCCTTATTTAGAAAGACATAAAGCTACACTAAGTTCCTCCAGTAGGTGGCGTATTAAACCTAGTATGTGTTCATTTCAAGTAGAAGAAAAACATTTATATTATGAACCAAACATATCAAAGTTCATAAAGGAATAAAGGAAAACTTCAATTGTGTAGTAACATATTTCAATTGCATGAATACATCCTTTATAATCTATTTTTGTTGGTGGACATTTGGGTTGTTTTCAGCATTTTATCACAGTGCTGCTAAAAACTTCTACATGTAGTTTACAGGTGTCCACTGAAATACATACTCAAGTTTTCTAGAGTATAACTAGGGAAACCAGTGTAAGTGTGAGAGAGAGGTCCGAACATGAGTGACACACAGGGCAATGACAGTGAAAGCTGAAATAAGCTGTGAATATAAAAAACCTTCTGATAGAAGAATTACTAGGGCTTAAGAATTAATCACATTATGAAGAAAAAGATTTTAAGATATAGTCCATTCTTTCAAAAGTATCTACTATGAACCATATTTATACTGGGTCTTGATGAAAAGTGTACAAGGCAAAGGTAGTATTGCCTACATGGAGCTTATGGGTGGGAAAAGATGAATTTAGATAAATAAAGAGGCAATTCAATTATGTCATAGGATGATAACATTCAACAGATGAACAAGATGCTACCCAGAACCCAAGACAGGCATAGCCAGAGGAGTAAGAAAAATATCCCAAGGGACTAAAATACTGAGTGCTTTTAAGAAGTAAAATTAGTTCAGTGTGCTGGGCCACCATTTGGCAGGCTGCATAGTTTAGCGAAAGCCAGATCATACAGGTCCTTGTAATTCACATTAAGGAGTCTGCACTTTAACTCAAGTAGAAGCCACTGAAGGGTTTAACAAATCAGAGTAACATTTATAAAGATCATTAGGGCTAACCTACAGAGAATATATTAAAGGGAAAAAAAAAAAAAAGAACCTCAAGATTATGGTAGTTAGGAAGCTGTTAGAGCATCCCAGGTGGTTGGAATCACAGGAATAGAAGCATTTGAGGGGACAGTAACATGTAAATTGCTGAACATGTTAAGTTTTGGGATTTCTACAGGACATCAAAATTGAAACTATGTGGAAGTTAAGCTGAAAAATGAATAGGAAGAGATGGCTTAAAAAGCCAGAGAAATACACAGAAAAATGAGAAGAGAATCAAATAGAAACCGATGGAACAGTGCTTCAAAAAAATAAAATGATCAAGGGGTCAAATTGTATCCTAGATTTAGTAACAAGAAAGATGCTGACATTTAGTTCTCACTCTGGCACTTTAGACCATCATCTCCAATGCTTTACCAACTATATTGATACTATTAGTATGTTTTACACTATCTATGAAATTGATTTTTACCAGTAAGCAAAATGAGGGGGGCAAGTTTAAGTATACTGTTGTGGATAAGGAATTTGTTCAACTTCTCAGTAGTGTCACCTTTGAATTGTGGGGAAGTACCAAAAATTCATTCTTTTAAAAAAATCAGTTCTGAATAAAAGAGAGAATAAACTTACAATCCATTAAAAAAAAAAAAAAGGAAACATCAGTGATTTCTTATTTTTATGTAAAAGGCCCTCAAGTCCTCATCAGTCTCTAGCACCATCTAGGAATGTTGGTATTTCCCGGAAATAGTATCACTTTATTCACCTCTTTTAACTGTTTTCATCTTTTAAATATAGTCATGTATTTATTCTAGCCCTCCTATTTAACTGTAGGGTTTGTAAATAGCATTCTCAAACGTTTCGGCGAAAAATAAGGGCATAAACTGCCCTTCAGAAAATGGTACCATGTTCACAAACCTGTGGTTTCAAGTATCCCTGTGTAATCATGAACTTTCTCAGTTTGAGAAACACTCTTGGAGGGCAAAGATTTTATTCTTACTTTCTCTCACAGTCCTCTGCAAAGAAACCTCAATAAAAATGTTTGGGTTATAAGTACTTTTTCATAATGGCTGGAGGAGTTTCGCTCCTGGGGACGTGCAATATACCAAGGAATGTCCCTTAAGTGTGGGGCATTGTACAGACAGGGCAACTTTTAATGGCAAAATGCTTTTAAGGTGGGTGTTTCCTGCCCCGTTTTGCAGATGAGAAAACAAGCTCAGGCAGGTGACCAGTATTATTTCCATTTTCGAGTGAGATAGATGAGTGGGAGGTAAGATGACTTGTTAGAGGTCTCAAGAATAATTAATGGGTGAGTCCAGGCTTCAAAGCCCAGGTTCAAAATGAGTAGCTAACTTTAATCTCACTTGAGATTTGGAGAGGCAATCCTTACGAGGATCAAGTGACCCAGCCCCTACCTCACACACCCTTCCTGTCGGCCAGGCGGCCCCAGTGACTAAGGAGAAGGGGCCCCAGTAGGCCCCCAAATCCCAGAGTTCGTGGCATTTTCTGACCGGGATGCTTAGTTACCTAAATACCCGGTGATAATTGTGACTGGGATCTTAGCACCGGGGCCAGGCTTCTCCTCCTCTTCTCCCTGCTTCGTCTCAATGGGAACCAATTCAGGACAGTCCTCCTCCGCGTGCTCCTCTTCCTCATCCTGAGCTCCAGCAGTCTGTAACATCCCGGCCTACCGCAAGCCTCACCGTCAGCTCCAAGGCTGACACCCAGACGCGGAGCCGCAGCCGCGCACTCAGCGCACGCCACACCAGGCCCGGGACTTGCGTCATCATCCCGCGCCACGTAGCTTCTCGAAACCCGCCCATTACCTGGGCCATGACTGACGCTCTGTTCACCCCGCCACGCCCCCAGGGGTTCTGGACACGCCCCCACGGGAGCTGGACACGCCCTCAGGGAGGACTCTGAACCTGAGCGAGGCTGCGCGAAGCAGCTCCTCTGAAGCTCTTTGCACGTCCGCAGCCTTAGTGCTACCGGCTGTTGTCAGGGATAAGGCTAGTTTGAACTTGGGGTGGGTGGCCTGACCTAAAGTGTTTCCGCAGACATAGACCTTGTCAACTTGACGTTTTTGAGCTTTATCCAAGTTGTCTTTCTAATTTTCTTTTTACAATGTGTCGTTTAATTTGGCTTCTTTTTCAATTTTATAAAAAGATTACCATATAATATATAATGCCCTGGAATTTGCTATATTTTCAACTCAACTATTGAGTTATATTTGATTGTGTGACTGTACGGTTATTTATCCATTTTCTATCAATTGCTTTCAGGTTTTTCTCTCAGGCAAACGTGAACATATTTCCTGGTGTATATGTGCTCAACTTTCCCTTTAATGTGTTTGTAAAAGCAGAATTGCTGTATCTTAGTTATTACAGATGTTACAGTTTACAAGAAAAGGCACCATTATGTTTTCAAAATGTTTGTACAAATTCATACATTTCCCCAACAATGTATTAAAGATCTCATTGAACTAAATGTCAGTTGAATACAGAATGATGCTTCATTGTAGTCTTCATTTGCATTTCCATGGTTACTTACAAGGTTGTGCATATTTTAATGTACTGACAATATTCAGTTCTATGTATGTTGTTATCCCACTTTTATACATAAGGCAGAGAGGTTATATAGCCAAGTTAATGTATTTGATGCAAAAGCCATATTTTTTACAATTTTCCTGATACCAAATAAATGTTTGATTTCTTCTTTCTTCAAACTACTGTTTGGTATAACACAGCTATTGAGAACACAGCTAAGGGAGAGGGTCCCAGGAATTCAAGGATCTTATACTCACATATACTCAACCTAAAAAATCGAGTATATGTGAGTATAAGAAGTTGAATGCTTTGCCACCTCTCATAATGTAATAACGAACCGGCATTGGAAGAATTGAGGCTAACAAGTAGAACCTGGTGGTTAAGTTCACTTTAAAGAAGCTGAGGTGGACAGCCCACAAGAGATAGCCTTAAGCCCTCAACAAAATAATCACAAACTTTTTGGCTTCAGAAACGCTATGGAATATTGAAGTTTTTGACAGATCAAAAGAAAAAATAGCATTGCACCCACAGGCATTGCCTTATTCACATGGTGACACTCCTGCACTGCACTGCCACCTGAAAGGAAGCAATTACAATCCCAAACTCCTCCTTTTACATATCTTTCAAGTAAGTTCTTCCAGATTCCCTTAACATGGCTTTGGCTGAATGTTTTACTAATATCTCTTATCCCTCACAAAAAGCAATCTGGGCCTTATGAAGACAATTTAGTTATGTTACAGCATACTCCAAGTAAAAGCAAGTTTTTATATTGATCAAAAGTTAAATGTATCCCAAATGTTCATCTGCTGATGGGCAAATAAAATGTGATATATCCAATGGAAAATTATCTGTCATAAGCAGGAAGAAAGCACTTATATCCTGTCACAACATGAATGAATCTATAAAACATTGTGCTAAGTGAAAAAGCCATTTTGCAGAAGACCACATATTATATGATTCCATTTAGATAAAATGTCCAGAATAGGCAAATCTAGAGAGATAGGAAGTAGATTAGTGGGTTCCAGGATGTGGCAGGTAGGGAGTGACTGCTAATAAGTACTGTGTTTTTCTAAAATGTTCTAAAATCAATTGTGGTGATAGTAACAAAATTCTGTGAATGTGCTCAAAATAACTGAATGGCACATGTTAAATTGATGAATTGTATCACTTGTGACTTTATCTCAAAGTATTATTTTTTAAAAAGTTAAAGGTTCATCTGTGCATCCAGTTGTTGGGGTTACAGTATGCTTTGTAGAGAAGTGCTGACATCAGTAATTTCTAGTCTTGACCTTAGGTATGAATATAAAGATTACAGGTTGAAGAAAATTTTCCTTTTGTCTGTTTCCATATTCCTCTTCAGGAATATGGAAACTTATGGACAATTTATAATTGTCCATAAATTCTGTGGGGTACTGTCATTTTCTTTTCTGATTCTAATAACTGGACAGAATTTAGCAAGTATGTATCTTTTAAAAGCCAGATGGACATGGTGCCACAGGCCTGTAATCCCAACAGCTCAGATGGCTGAGGCAGGAGAATCGTGAGTTAAAAGCCAACCTCAGCAACTTAGTGAGACCCATTTAAATGGCTAGGGATGTGGGGGACGCTGGGGTTGTGGCTCAACGGTAGAATGCTCACCTAGCACGTGAAAGACCCTGCGTTCGATCCTCAGCACCATATAAGAATAAATAAATAAATAAAATAAAGGTATTGTGTTCAACTACAACTAAAAAATAAAAAGGCTGAGGACGTGGCTCAGTTATTGAGTGCCCCTGGCTACCACCCTCCCAAGCCAGGGTTTTTGATTAATTCAAATACATAATTTATAAATCTTAGTTCTGTCTGAATCTGACTCTTGTATGTTTACTTCTATTATAACACAACATTTACCAATTTTATCTATTCCCAATGAGTCTTTGTCACTGTTTAGTTCAAAATGCCTTTTTTTTAAAGAGAGAGTGAGAGACAGACAGACAGACAGACAGAGAGAGAATATTTTTTAATATTTATTTTTTAGTTTTCGGCGGACACAACATCTTTGTTTGTATGTGGTGCTGAGGATTGAACCCGGGCCGCACGCATGCCAGGCGAGCGCACTACCACTTGAGCCACATCCCCAGCCCCAAAATGCCTTTTTTTAAAAATATTTATTTTTTAGTTATACGTGGACACAATATCTTTATTTTATTTTTATGTGGTGCTAAGAATCGAACCCAGTGCCTCACACATGGTAGGTAGGTGAGCACTCTACCTCTGAGCCACAACCCCAGCCCATCAAAATACCTTTCGAACCCTTAAATATTTTTGTTGGGAATGTGAATTAGTACAACCACTATGGAAATCATTATGGAGTTTCAAAAAACTAAAATCGAGACTACCATATGATCCAGCTATATTATTCCCCAGTATCTATCCAAAAGATTTAAAGGTAGCATACTTTAGAGAAACATACATACTCATGGTTAAAGCAGACAATCACAATAGCCAAATTACAGAACCTGCCTAGGTGTCCATCAACAGATGAATGGATAAAGAAAATGTGGTATGTATACACACAATAATTTTATGCAGCCATAAAGAAGAACGAAATTATGTCATTTGCAGGAAAATGGATGCAACTTGAGAGCATCCTGCTAAGTGAAATAAGCCAGACTCAGGAAGTCAAGGGTCATTATGTTTTCTCTCACATGTGAAAGTGGGGTGTGGGGGGGAATATAGCGAAAGAGCAACCTCATGAAAATACACCAGTAGTGTAGGGGGAGGGAGGAAGGAAGGCAAGAGGAAGTACTGAAAAAAGAAATTGATCAGATTATGTTATATACCTGTACAAATATGTCACAATGAAGTCCACTATTCTGTATAATAAATATGCAACAATAAATGTTAAATCTTTTCAAATAAAAATAATTTCTAAGTATAGTAGGAACTTATTACAGCTTAAATTGTACCTTAAATTTTAATTCTCATTTAGTTTTGCAATTTTGCTTATTCTCAATGAATTTATGACAAAACAATTACAACTATTATTTTTATGTGTTGAGCCCTTACTACATGATAAGTATTATGTTAAATCCACATTAAATGGATTATTTCATTTAAGTCTTTGAGGAAAACATGATTTATATGTCCCCTCCCTTTTCCTTAACTGTACTGGAGATTGGACCCAGGAATTCATAAATGCCAGGCAAGTGCTCCACCACTGAGCTACACTGACAACCCTTCTTATTTTAAGTGGCCCAGGCTCACCTTGAACTTGCCATCCTCCTGCCTCATCTTACCAGGAAGCTGATATTACATATGTGTGCCACCTCACCTAGTTGTATGCCTATTTTATAGGTGAAGAAGCTGGACCTTAGAAAATTAAAATAGTTTAATCAAGGTCATTCAATCAGTAAATGGAAGCCCTGGTGTTCAATTCAGTTCTACCTAACACTGAATTCCAAGCTATTCTAACCTAAAATAGGGATCTGCAACCTTTTCCTGTAATACCAGTTAGCAAATATTTAGGGCTTTATAGGCCAAAAAGCAAATGTGAGGACATTGTATCGGTGCTTACATAATAGGAGAGAAAAAGAATTTCTACAAAGCCTTAAATCTGAATTTGATAACAATTTTAACCTCATGAAATAATAGTTTTTTAAATTTTTTCAACCTATTAAGCATGTTAAAACCATTCTTAGCTTGCAGACTACACCGAAAGAAAGAAAGGAAGGAAGAAAAATAGGAAGGAAGGAAGGCAGGGAGGGAGGGAGGGAGGGAGGGAGGAAGGAAGGAAGGAAGGAAATGCAGCAGGCCTAACTCTCAATGTAAGCTTATATAATATAATGTTTTCTTAAACTAAACTAATTAAAATTTCACAAATATAGGTCTTCCTAACTATTTTTATCTCAATTTGTAAAACATTCACATTTGCAGCAACTCCTTGCCCTTAAAGTGTTAGATATCCAATTACCATAATACTAGTAATATTCAGAGTAGGACCAGCAGCTGAGAAACTTAAACTACTTCTCCAAGGACACTGATACCTGGCCTGGGAGAGACCTAAGCTGGGCAAGGAAAGACCAAGCAGGAGCCCTGCTTGGGAGAGACCAAGTAGAGCAGAGCATATGAGCTCTCAAACTGTCTGGAATCCAGCAGCTCAGCTTTATGACAATAACCCTGACATATGACCTTGGGCATAACCCCCTACTACTCCCCATTGCTTCATGTTTTTCCCTTGAAAAGTT